AAGACGTGAAGTCCTCAGAACCGGCCAATAAAAATATGTGATAGAGTAAAAACTGGAAATTCTGACTGCCTTTCTAAAACAACCAACAGTAGTTATTGTTGTGCGATACTGTAACATTTGGACGACTTATTTGTCAGTGTGTCTGTGTTAATAACATAACACCTCATTTAACAGATACAATGACTGCGTGAGTACACTATTTTTATTTTATTTCGTGTTATAATGAACTGTAACTCAGGAAAGTCAGTTCTGTTTAATGTCATTTAGATTAATGATAAAGATATTACTAAATAAACAAAGAAGACCTAAAGTTCATTATTTTAGCTATTAGATAGAAATAAAGTATTTTTTATTCGGTCCAAAATAACCAGAAAACATATAAAGAAATATGAAAAAATATGCCCTCAATAGTTCAAATAAAATGACAATGAAAATGTATAGTGATTATGCTGGTATCAAAAATATGGTTTTGCATTTCATGAAAAAACGAAACAAAAAGAAATTAAAAGAAAGCCAAGTCCATTTTAATAAAGGTTGGTGACACCAGAGTCTGACCAATCCTCGACAATGAATCACACATTTTTCCGCTGACTTGGCTCCTGACGGCATTAATTACAAACCCCAGGCAACAATAATTGAACTGCGGCTTCATCCAGGGAGGGAGTTTGGTTATCGGCCATAATTCAAACTGAATCCGGGGCACAATCGGCCGCATAATCATCAGCAGACTGATGTCGACCAAAATGTCCGACTGTATGCACAGGTTGCTTAGACCGTAATAGGTCAATGTAATTAATTGACTGGTTGAACCCTGACTTGTCGTTCGATACCTGGTTGTATTGTTAATGAGATATACTACGCGATATCAGGAAGCCTGAGACAGAAGGGTGTATTGGATAAACTTGCTTTGGGCAATCTGCATAACTTAACGATTTAGTTTTTTCTCCCACAACACTTTACATTCATATAGCATTTTATTGCTCCACACATAAAATTAAATTGACAAAGTTCAGTTATAAAATGCAATACATTCTAGGTGTTATAAAAGCATAAAACAAATTGAATTGGTGTTGGACTCCTAAGTATTCAAGAAGGGTAGTAGAGGGGAGGAGTGAGGCTTGAATAATAGGTGCTATTTATTTAAGAGGTGGTTTTCTAGAAAGCGACTCCTATAATGTAAGTTTTTCGACTTCTTGCCGAGGGGTGGAACCGAGGGGTGGGATGAGGGATTCGACGATGGCGAGGGGGCGGGAAGGTTCTTAGGGAAGTTGGTCAGAACAACACCCTGGGGCACGATCCTCAACTTTGGTTTTACTCTCCCTCTAAGAAACTGAGTTGATACTGTTTTAAAGAGGACTCTGGAACGTTACGCTTTGTTCTTGTGATAATTGAGGCTCATTGCCCCCTCCTTCTCACTCCTAAACCCTCTATCTACCCCTTAATTCTCCTCCCTCTAAAGTTTAACCCCTTATATATGCCTCTTGAACTTAACCCATTATTTCTTTGCCCGCAGCCGCTTCTTCACGGGGCATAAGAATAAAGTATTGCTACGATTAATCGCCGTATATCTATAATGTATATGCCTAGACTCCTTTTGCGCCATTTTCCCATCTTTTACTCATTTCCAAGCGAATAACACGATCGTTGCGGTTTTTCTGCATATAATTAATTGCCAGATCTCTTAATGCTCTCCCTTACAAACCAATAAATCAATTTAACATCTAGTTAAGCTAAATATTTCCTCTTTTTGCATCTGCAATACAAAATAATAAAAATATAACCTCAAAACTTGAGAAATCGACATGACATACTTTTATTGTATCATTCAGTATCAATTAATGAATTTTGCATATTTTTAAATTACCAAACTAAGGTTTAAAGAAAAAGAAAGGGCAATACTGGGATTCCTTTACATTTTCAGAGATTGCGTTTAAATGAATATAAGACGACAGTCTGCGTCCTGAGATCCGTGGTATGCTGTGTTATTAGTTGTAGTAAAATTATGAGAAAATTGTTACGATGGGTTAGAAAATTCCTTGGGCAATGCTGGAAATGGAATTCCTGATGCCGACCACCGCACTACCTCTGATGATATCAGTTTTATTTAGTGAAATTTTTACTTTATAGACATTAAATTCAATTAGAAACTGTTTCTTTGAATATTTTTCAATGTTGTAACAGAAATAAGTATAACCTTGTATCTTTTTTTTCTGCATCGTGTTGTTCGGAATATTGTTCTTCGCATGGTAATGTTGTTCTACCCTTCACACCCCACGAATGAGGAACGTCCCGTGACTTTTCGCGGCCTCCCCCACAACTTTAATGATTATTAAATTAATTTGTCGTGGAGGGCCAAACGTTGGTCGATGATGAATGGGACACGCGCTATCCCTGAGATTGGTCGTACAGAAAGGCAAGAGGGGTTGCGGGGGTTGATTGATGCTGACACGGTTGTTTCAAGCCTCGTGCTCGGCCGGAGACTAAGATTAATCATTAACAAGTGCATTGGCCAAAAGAGCGTAGCGAACGTTTTGAAAAAAGGACGACGTCTCAACCCCTCTCGGCATCGCCAACGTGCTGATTTCCATTTTTCATGTCTCACAATTACCCGGGAGAATTTATGCACATGGCGATTTTAACCAGACACGAACGAATTTTCTAGACTTCAATTGTGCTTTATATAAAATTATGAATAAATTTGTTGGGGTTGGGAGTGTTTTTAGTTGCTATGTCATTTTATTTCATACCTAGCGATCACAAAACTTTAATCCAGTAAACTTTAAAAGTACCGATACTCTCTAGTAACGCTATACTCGCAATGTCCACTAACTGGTAAATTTCCTTTAACTAAAGACCATTTTTTTAATGTTATCACCTCTAGCATGTACTTCACGTTGTGGACCAAATCCTCATCGCTTGAGCAAACAATACTGCATGGGGGCCTTTCTTGACGAGGCACAAGCGTTTAATAGCGTGTGGCCTGAGGGTCTCCGGTACAAATAAAACTTGTACTTCCATATACCTTGCACCTAAACCTTCTGTCCTACTTAACAAAACTATTCTTCCGAGTTCGCCAAGGATCAGACTACTTGCAATATTGTCCTCTGGGAGCGCGTGTGACACAGGACAGTGTGCTCAGACCGATCTTGTACCTCATCGTTATTCAGATGTTCCAACAAACCTTTCACTCTAGCTCGCTTACCGACGATGCTATTCTCTGATTCTGAGAAGCTCCAGATACACGTGTTGCGTATAGCCGAATGGAACAAATTCTAGCCCCCTTAAGACAAATAGAAGCAATTACACCTACATTACTTTTACCCTCAGAAACAAAAGCCATAATTAACATTCCTCAATAATCCTATCCCAAAAACAGACTGTAGACACTACCCTGGGTTCTATCTGGACTCTCGTCTCACCTGAACGTATACAAACTAAAAGACGGTTCGGACTACCGTACAAAGTAAGAGCATCACAGGTATCAGAAAAAAGTAAACCTACATTTTATAAGATGCTACTTGTTAAACCGACTTAGACATACGGATTAGAATTGTGGGGCAGCGCTAAACCTTCCAACACCCAAAGTCCTCAGAACCATTGTCAACTCTACTCTACTACGTTTCCAACACCACCCTTTCAATGACCTCCAAATACCCTTCGTTAAAATCCTAACACCCAACAAATTTTCCACATTCCATGAAAAACTATCCTCACATCCTAACACATAAGCCCGATACATGTCCCTTCCCTACAATCCAGTAAAGCGACTGAAGTGGAGATGGCCCCGGCACCTCCTTTCGAATAGTACATAACTACTCAGAAATGGTTACTGTCTCCCCTCAGGATCTATGCAAATTATAAATAATAGTTTATTTCATTACATTATGTATATAATTTGTACAGACGGTAATAAATAAAAAATAAAAATAAAGCACCTATAAAACAGAATGGTCTGCTTTGAATTTTCCACAGATCGTCGAAGGTTTGATACCAATCACTTGAAAATTTTCTGATCTCCCACTCACTAATTTTATTAATTTCTTATGTCATTTTTTAAACTCCGGTCATTTCAGTCTCACTGGTTTTGGCATAAATACAACATAATTTTGTCTTCCATGTTTGGCTGTTTGTTGAATTGATTGAGCCTTTCTGAGTGATATTCATACATATCATAAATCCTATTACTATTTAATGAAATTAATTAGTTTAAACTACGAGGCAGTATTAGAAAGTTTGGAAAAAAAGACTGCATATATTTCCGGTTTGAAAGTTAACGTTCGTAATCAACTTTTTACAGACGAAAGCCAGGTGGATAATGTGTCGGAGGAACCGTTTGAAGAGGCACCTCCGAACACCAAACCTAAAAAAACGCGCTTAGATATTAAACAGCTATTAAACTCGTAGAGACAACAATAAACACCACTAATGACGAAGCATTCGTGGGAAAACCCTGTCCAAACCTAGCAGTGATTTCCTCACTGGAAGCCTATGTTAATCTTCCCCTACAATTACCTTAATAGGGGTTGAGGGGGTGTAAACCGGAAACGGAAGTCAACAGGTATCACGTGACCTCTTTAATGCGATTGTCTACTGTCAGGTGCATCGTTTGTCATGGTAATGCCGACATAGAACCACATTGTGTTTGATTTTAATCATCTATTAAATAGTTAATGAAATATATATGCGGTACTCTGTGACTCACCGCGGCCAACTTTCCCATAGTTATATCATTTGAATAATTAATATCTTATAATTATAAGTTTAAATTAAGTTTTATCAATCGCTATAAGCGCAAAATTGCTGATCATCAGCGTATGGGAATATCATGGAAGTTTCTATTTCAAGGCTCATTGCCCTCCCCAAGAGTCCCTTTACAATACTTGACAAGGATAGTTAATCAAAAATCTTTAGAGTTACCCCAGGTTGTATAATGATCCTCTTCATTTCACCCTATTGAAATATACCCCTTTTGTATTTATAACTTTTTTCTTTGATTTCAGGATCGTACGGAATAAAGCTGCGGAAAAAGCTAAGCACGCTGTACAAAACAACAATACGTGTAGCCCTCCTTCTGGTGGTCAAGGCCCTGTATCTGTGATAGCACACGCTCCTGCCTCTCAACACGATAGGTACAGCATAAACGGAATTCTAGGAATACCTCAACACCACGAACACCCAGGAAAGCGGAAGAGAGACCTCGACATCAACCCCGGTAAGATTCTTATTAAAAACAAATCGATAATAGCTAAATATCGAGATAGTAACTTCCGGAAAATCTTCATGGGTATGATCGGAAGTCCTCGTTTCAAATTTGACCAATGGAAGTAAGTGAGGATCACCTCCCTTCTCACGCGTTACCAAGCAACCACCATTAAAGGGACCCTCCGCAGGAAAGCTTTTCTGCTACCCATCCCCCATCTCCTCCTTCGTTCTCTCTCTCTCTCTCTCTCATTCTCGCCGTTTTTATGCCAAGATTTGCATAGTCGCCATTTTTGTTTTGCGTGTTTTCCAGATTTTAACTTGGGGGGAGGGTGACTGAAATATAGTGTTACGCTCTAGGAGATAAGCCACCAACAGCAGATGTCTATTGTTACGGCCACCTTTTCAGACAAAATGCTTTCCTCATCTTTATTGCGCGGACCTTCACAATGAGCACAAAAACCAGATTAACTGGACGATTTAAATGCTAATATTATTATATGAAAAGACGCTTTGTTTATTCCACACACAAAAACTAAAACACAGCTTTTCTAAACTTAAAAAAAATAGCCGAAAAGATTGGTAAGTATACAATTAAAACCCAAACAAAAAGACAAAAAAATCTGTAAAAGTTTCAAATAACATGAATTCAATGGCAAAACCCACTTTATGGCGGACGGATAAGTGAATTGCTCCGTATAAAAAGTGAGAAGGTACAAGAGAATTGAAAGACAAGCAAGCGCCCTTATCGAGGAAAGCGAGAGAGCACGTTGGAAAGAGAAAAGAAAAGACATTCTACTTGATCAGAGTGCAGAACTGAGGGGGAGAACACCTTTCTAGCCCCAAAGTAACAACCCTTGGCCTAACCCCTGTTTTCACTCAATTGAACTTCATCAATCCGAAGTCTAACGCCTCAAAAGAAGCATTGTTCAGCGATTAGATAATAAATATATTATCCCCTAACAACTAGTTCATTATATGATTTTTTATTAATTTTTTATTGTACATTTTGGTTAAATTAGGCTCATTTTAAGCAGTTATATCAAATTTAGCGATAATGACGGAACCGTGGGCCCACTCCAATAAAGTAAAAGATTATAATAAAATAAAATATTAGGCTAATTGCCATATACGGATGTCTGTTTAGATGGCCCGGCTGAATTTCTCTTGACCCAATGACGCTATCAAAAAAAGTTTAATATTTTTTAGGCTAATTTCAAATTTTTACATTTTTTGGGAAAAAATTACACCCGGTACTTCAGGCCCAGTTCAACTTCAAAATTTCAAATACGGCCCTATACATCAGCTTAAAATTGTAAGTCCGAGTACATCTCTAATTTTATTTTTTGAAAAACCTAAAACCCTTCCAACATTTCGGAGAGATGAATTCAGATTTTCGCGAACATATAATTAAAACATAACACACGTAACATAAACATAGTAAAATATTCAGCTCCTCGTCGAAATTACGCGGCCCGTTTCTTTTTGCCATAATTTGGCATTTTTTGACCAATTTAAAATCCGATTGCACCATTGTTTTCAGCGTACAAAATCCTTTAAAATTATGTGTCAGGATGTATAGGGTCGTATTTCAAATTTTTAAGTTGAACTGCGCCTAAGTACCCTGTATAATTTTTCTCAAAAAAAGTAGAAATTTGAAACTAGAATAAAAAATATTAGACGTATTTTTTTTTGCTTTTTAAATAGCGTCATGGGTTCAAGATAAATTCAGCCGGGCCATTTAAACAGGACACCATGTATAATTCCATGCTTCACGTGCCTACTTAGAAAATTCCACACATTATCATTTATCGAAGAAAACAAACGATAAAGTACAAACGACACAAGCTCCCCCAGGAATAAAGCATAGAAAACATGATTTAAAAAAGATGGTATCATCGGTGGGATGGGACATGTATCAGAGCATTGTCGATGTCGGAGGATCTGACTCGTAGAAGAAGTGACATCCTCATCCGATTAAGGATAGGCCATGCGAGGTTGACATATGGGCCAAAGGCCGCGACCTTCACGTAGAGAAAGGTTGTTCGATGGTTCCATTTAGTTGAAGGGTGCAATTCATTGGCTCTATATAGAGAGCTTAGGAATTCTACCCGATATGGGAATCGTGTTTGATCACGGCAGCACTGGTCCCCTGTCCCGATTTTTAAAGAAACAGGATTGTTTTATTGTATATAGTACTGATATTTTTGTGTACCTAGCGTGAATTGATTGAGTGAACTTATTGGAGTGAATATGTATATCACAGAATATTGAATATCCCATCGACCCTCAATTAGGTTATATAATTATAGTTATATAATAGCTTATGGAATACTTGATATATAAATAGGAAAGAATGAGTGAGAGTGTGAATGGGTTGGGGTCATAACTGGATGCGTTGGGTGCTAAATTGAGCTACCTGTTGACAGCACCCGAAGTCCAACTACGGTGGTTGGACGGGTAAGACCGAGTTATGACCCGGGACTGCCAACATCCGAGGTGGGTGATTCTCGAGACCTGCCGGTAATTTATTGTAAATTACCAAAGCTGGAGTTACCGGTGGACTGCGAGAACCGATAGGCTCAACTCTGTACATGTGCAGATTTGATCTTATATAAATCCAAATCCCTCACAAATATAATAAATTTGTAAAAATTAAAGGTTAATTTAAATGAAAATAAAAAGATCCAATTCATAACAACCAGCAGGATCAATAAAAACTGCAACTACAAATCTTATAAGTACACCATGAAGTGTTATGTATTGACTTTTAACAGAGTTATTCTTCATATTCCGGTCATATAAAAAAAAAGCTTTGAGAGGTTTTTCCACCATATAAATTTCAATGGCCTTTCTCTGTTTGTCCATAAGTAGCCACAATCCCCTTGGATGAAAACAACTCCTTAAAATGGTCTTGATTCCGCACAATAAGAGCAAAAATAACATTTTATTGTTAGAAAGGGTGTACAAAGAGGAAAGTTTGCCTCGTCCCCTTTGTCGTCTAACTGCTCCTCTCTCCTGCAACTTACCCCTATCGGCTACAGAATAATACCATTGTAGCGCCCCCTCTTATATAACTGCCTTTTAATGTAATCCTCCCTCCCCCGTGGGGCCATATGTTGGGAAACAATGTAATTGTTGCTACAAAAGGGAGTTATGATGCTTTGTCCTCTTAAAGCGTCAGTTACAAGATGGCCGACTAAAATGGCGTAACGGTGGTGACGGTGTGATTGATTCAACGAACAAAGTTCACAGTTCATCCCTTAAAAAGTACCCTTCAACCCTGCCTTGAGAGATAAGACGGGGATAATTAGATTCGGATCTTTTCGGATATCGATTCTATCTGACGTTTGATTAGTCTTTGGGTCTTCTTTTCAATGGACGCTCTTCGGGCTTAATACATCGCACTTGATAATTTCACGAAGAAACAACAGCCTGACGCTCTCACTCTGATCTACAAGATCCCACAGTCTTAAAGATTTTCAGCATGATGTAAAACCTCGAAAATAATGGATAAAATTCCAAGATGGATTTAAAGCAAGGGTGTCTCTTATCGCCAATATTATTTTCATTATTTATCAATGATTTGCCTGCGTTTATTCAAGGTGGGATTCGTACAGTAGGGGTAAAAGTTAATTGTATAATGTACGCAGACGAAATTGAATTTGTTGCAGATTACCCAACTGTGTTAGTTAATGATAAATAAGTTAGCTGAGTATTGTCAACTGTGGAACCTTACCGTTAACATGGATAAATGGAACATTATAATTATATAAGTGGGAAGTTTATGGGCCGACAAACAGCTGAGATCATCGCCGGCCCTCTGCGTGTTTTCCTTCTTTTTCTTTTCTTTCGCGCATATTTTGTTTTAAACTGCAGCCATTTGAGCGTCTCGATCTGGTTACTGACTCTCTGGTTGGAATATTATAATTTTCAAAAATAGAGGTAGTCGTGCCAGGACACTGGGATTTTAATGGCATCAGTATTAATATTGTAAATAAGTATAAATAACTGGGGGTAATTTTAACATTAAAACTTTCATTTTGCATCACTTTGAACAGAAAATGAGCTTAGCCTAAAATTCAGAAAAAACAAAAATGTTGAAATTTGGAATTTTTTGAAAATGTTGGATGTGTAATGTATGTAACTTAATGGCTACACCCAACATATACTGTTGACTGGGGATGGACTCTGTCCATGTATTAGTGACCCTGAATGGAATTTTGATACTGTAACTTTGTATATATTTAACTAAAGATTTTATTATTATTAATGGATTAAATTGACATCTGAAAACCTAATCCTTAAAATATGATGGTTATCATAACCTACCAATGCCCAGGTTCATATTTACCGCATAATAAAATGAGAGTAAAAAAGTTTATAGTAAAATATTCTCCAATTCAAGCAGATTCATACGTTTTGTTCTTATAATTGTCCGATATTTCCATACCCTTACAAATACTTTCAGTTTCTGAAACACTTTTCCCTTGAAATAGCCCAACTAAAGCAATCTATTAAATTTTAGACTGTAATGGACGTATGTGAGGCCAAAACAGCCAAAACTCCTGAACCTAACGTACGTAATATTTGTATTTTTACTGCAACTTTTTTAATCGAACCATTTGGACTTAAAGGAAGAGTTTTCATGTCATAACTATGTATTTGTGGATTATAAGAATCGATTCATTCGTTCAGGAGAAAGCCACACTGTAGTCGGACGGGTGATATATTTTGTAGTCGGGGGTCGACTCAGGACTCTCTCTCGGTAATATTAAGGAGGGGGATTATGAAGAGGCTAGGTATAAATCTCAAGGGTTGTAGCATTGCCAAGGGCCTCCTCACACCCCAGCCCTCCAGTTCCGCTTCTGATGGTCAAGTAAACGGAACCCCCTACTCCAGAAACCAACCCCTTCTTCCCATTTATAACTCCATCCTTAATTTATATTACTCAGTTTTTCCTCTAGCTAATGTTAAGTGCTATTTTCCTCTTCTCCTAACTTTCTTGTGGGAGAACATCTTTATCTTAGCGTCGTTATAACCTTTTTTTCCGTTTTGTATAAATTTCTTTCCCCCTTTCTCACTTGACGCGGGCGCAACTTTTTTTTCGGCCCGTACCGACCCAGATTTAAGGGAGATTTGAGGAAATTAAATATGAGAAACCCAGCGGGCGATTGGGGGCGGTAGGACAACGAGATAGAACATATGCTGTCGAGGAAATTCCCTCGGGCCCCTGGGGCAGCCCGGTTCAATTAAATGTTTGTATTAAGTGAGTATGATTGCCCAGAGGGTGTACTTTATAGATTGTAACCCCGTTGGGGACAACATTGACACTCGATACCCTCGTAAAGGGCTTGTCTCAATCATCTAAGCCCTTCCCTTGATTACATTACGCTTTTAAAGAATTTCATTTTTCAATTAGCGTTTTACATTTTATATTTGCTTCAATTTCCTAATTAAAAACATAACTGGAGCTGGACGAAACTGATTTCTTCTCAAAATTGATTTTTTGATGGCTTTCACTATAATTAGTATTATTTGTCTTAACTTACGTAAACATATTATATAAATATATACGAAAAAAGGCATTACTTTTAAGTAATTACCAGAGCTATTACAGCCGATAGTAAAAGTACAAAAATACCCGTGGAATCGGTTTTAATAAAACATGAAGGGCTGCTGAAATCCGATGCGATAATGGCCTCTGATTCATGTGGAATGATTCAATCAAAAGAAGGCTTCTGTTGCCGAGAGTCAATCATTGTACATTTCCAATCAATCCTCGTTCAAAAGGTGGATAAACAATTGAAAACGTATATTAATTGACCATTGGGGCGTGGTTGAAAATGTAGCCTGTCCGACGTAGATTACATATACCGCCGACGACCAACCCTTTCGTTCTGTCCTCTCACTCTCACGCTCACACTCCTTCCCTCCCTCTTTCTGCTCGGTTTTACACGACCGAGAGGGGAAAAAAAGCCAACGTTATTGCCCCCATTTATGTCTTATTGTCCTCCATTTATTTTATTGCGGATCCTGATTTTTTTCTCTCCTTATAATAGCCCATCCTCGGGCAAACTGCCTGCTTTGTGAGTTTCTTCTTTGGCGAGACATTTGTTGGGTGGGCGTACATATATATTGCACTTGTTATCAAACCACTCCGATTTAACATCTGCGGTACCATTAAAGTCAATTTTTTGCCCAAAAGAAAAAAAATAACAAAACTGAAATTGAACAGTAATGACATAATCCAACTTATATCCCTGATTAATGTTAAGCATTTTTATGATAGATTGATAGAGATAATATGTAGGTAAATATCGCGATAAATCTTTTCCTTCAGAGAGAGGGAAGGAGAGTGAAACGAAGCGAGAGAGAGCGTGTGTGTGTGAGAGCGAGAGAGAGAGAGAGAGAGAGAGAGAGAGAGAGAGAGAGAGAGAGAGAGTGAGCGGCCTAACCACTCATAAAACAGGCAGAGAAAGAGAGAGTGAGGCGAGAGGCAGACAGACTGAGACAGAGATAGATAGAGAGACCATCCTAACCACCACTAAGATAGTAACAGAGAGAGAGAGAGAGAGAGAGTGAGACAGACAGACAGACAGAGAGAACTAGAGAGACCATCCTAACCACCGCTAAGTTAGAAACAGAGAGAGAGAGAGAGAGAGAGACAGACAGAGAGAGAGAGAGACTGACAGAGAGAGAGAGACAGAGACAGAGAGAGAGAGAGAGAGAGAGAGAGAGAGAGAGAGAGAGAGAGAGAGATTCCTCCTAACCACTCCTAAGACAGACCCAGACAGAGAGAGAGATTGAGAGAGAGTGAGGAGTGGCAAAGAGGCAGGGGGTCTTCCATTCCGAAGACAGAGATAGACAGAGAGACAGAGAGAATGAGAGTAAGTAAGTGTAAGAAGGAGACTGAAAGCAAAAGAAAGCTATCGAGAGTCAAAAAAAGGCTTTGTTGCCCATTGTAAGGCGTTAAGAGCAACACTCCGGCAAGACCAAAAAGATATAACGGTTTAAACAAGGGAACTTTTATTTGGAATAAGTAATTCCGTTGAACGTAATCACGCATGGCTATAAAAGTAAGGTACACAAATAGATAAATAGAATAGAAATAAGCCTATTTCAGCTAAAATGTCCTGGTGAGCACGTGTGTCTCAGAAAGGTTCACAAAATCGATAACATCGTTGAATTTTGAATAATGAAGACATGCTCGATATCGGCCCGTCAAACTTGAAATTTATAAGAGCCTAAACAAAAATTCAAAAGAAGCTGACAGGTGGTCGTCCATGGCCATGAAATGACCCTTGGAAACGACCCTTTGTGTTTTTCTATTGAAGAGATGTTCTTGATCCATTGTGGTCAGCCCTGCTCCCTAAAAGCGCATCCCATTATATGACGAGTCAATAATGATGTCTATTCACACTAAAGGTTTTATATATTTTTCCAGACGAGAACAGAGATTTGAACGGACACGCCGAAGACGAAATCAAGAGGCAGAGAACACAGTACAACGGCGACCAGCTTTATTCGAATGTAAGCCCATTAAAAATCTTCAAAGCCTTATTTAAAACACGCAGGTTATAAAAATAATTCAATTCTAGCTTTGGTCGAGTAAATGGAACATGAAAGAAGAACATAAGTTATTCTCAGACTTAGGGAGTGGAGGTAGTGGTGGTTCTCCTTACTACGACTCCTCTTCTGGTTTTCCAGCTACATCAACAACGACTGCAGACATTTATGACACAATCAGTACAATGAGTCAAGCTCAAACTACCCACATATACAATCCTCCAATCGGTAATTATATTATTTTTTCCTTGCATGTTACAAGAATTATATTATTTTATGACGTGATGTAGAATTTTTTTTTTTTTTTTGAGATGCTTGTATTAGATTTTTCGTTTTTTTCATTCTTTAGTTGGAGGTGTGAATCCCTTAACGCCAATCAGCATGCAAGAAATTCATAAATTAGGGACGACGACCGTGTTAGACCCATTATCTTTATCCCCAGTGCAATACCAGCATACAGGTGAGTCAAACAGAAACAACAAAAACATACAGAAACAGCATGTCATGAGCATGTTTGTCAAATCCTTTTAAGTTCATTAAAAAAAAATTGGCTTATTTTTACTTTTAAGTTTTGCATGGTTTGTCAATGTTTTAATTTTGCTGTGTGTGCCGGGCATGTTGTGTAGACGGATATAATAATGGTACGACTGGAGGGACGGGTACGGCAGATGTCGGGTCACCAGGACAGCCGCTTTCCTTGCCGGCAGACCCGGCACCGAGTCCAAACCCCCAAGACCCGACAGGGTTGACGGTTCTGCAATCACCATACACCACCACCTACTACCCTACAGGTAAATTTGGAAACATTTGGTCATTCGAATATGTAATTTTTGCAGTGCTGCTTGCATTTGAATTCTTTTAATCAATAGTTTTAAATAAATTAGTTTAACTTCATTAAAATATATACATATGGATGTCCTCCACAGTTGACTAAGGATGAATAAATATTATATTGGCCACCATCTTATTTACCATCAGATCAATTTTGGGTTATGCATACTACATAATTGGGCCAATAATTTGCTGTTCAAATGCAGTGGATGAGAAAGCAAAATAGACCTTCTTGTTTTTCATAATTAATCGAATAAGAAAAAAAAAAAAGAAAAAATACTTTTCTTTTTTGGCCTAAATCATACAGTCTGCTGTTTAATAAACTATAACATTATGTTATGAAGAATTATTTCCAAAGTGTCAATCATTTGTAATCACTTCAACCCTAAAGATTAAAATTAACACATGTACATTGTTTTTACAGGAGCGGGAGGAGGCGTGACGGATTACACCTATTCTTCTCCTTATACGCAGTACACATCGGCACCATACACGGGATACAACTACCCGACTGGCCCAGGAGGTCTCCTCAGTAAGTAAACAGTGAGTATGATTAACCCCTTCCCAACCCTTACCTATTCAACCAAGGCACTTACATAATGTCGAGCTTACACTGGAAGGGTCAAAGCCACATGACATTGTACAAATAAACTTCCAAGGTTTCAAATAATTTTTATATTGGCTACTTCATATCATTGGAATTTAATTTCATTTAAATTTAATTATCTCCAAAATTTTTTCATTTACCAATATTTGACCTAAATCATCGATTAGTTTTTTAAATGCCGTTTTATATTCTTAATAAATTGTTTCCGGAAGTTTATTAAAACACTTTTTAAAAATATATATGTCCCAATTTTTCCATTAACATTTAAAGATATTGTAAATTTTGCCTAGAAAACTAATCAAAAAATTTGTTTGTTTTTTTTTTTTATTTGCAGATTCGTGCTATTTCTACGGTAACAGTAACCAAAGCGCCAGCGATTCGCCGGTATTTTCAAGACATGTCTGCTCCGAGGAAGCCAGATCTCCTCTCGCAGCGACAAGGGCCAATTCTGGCGCGAGTGCATCTTCACCCATTGGCACATCTTCATGTATGAAAGTCGAAGCCACAATGGCCACACAGTGAAATTTAAAACAAAAAGTTTATACGAACTGTCAGCAGCATCATCACAAAATAAATTGAAAAAAAAATTGTAATTTGAAACTGTTACTCAAAAAAATTTTTTTTTGGAAAAGCGAATAAATTGCATATCACATTGAACTTGTATGAAGAAAATGGACTTTCTGCTTAAAGATATATGCAACGAATAAATAAAGACTCAATAATGTGAAATAGACAATGGTGTGAGATCTCAAGTAATATATCATTGTATTATACAGCAGAGTGTTATACCAAAGAAAAGGTGTATATTATACTAGTGAACCGGTGTTAAGACTTAGAAATAGAAAGTCTTTGTACCTACGTCCAAGTCAATAAGTCATATTTATAACTGGGACAATGAATCTAATTATTCAAGGTACGATAGGCTTTTTAAAAATATTAAACTTGGTTCGTCGACTGTAATGTATTATATTGTACGAAAATAATTATTTTAAAAGAACCAATTTCTGTCACATAATTGTAAAAATATTTTAATTAGTAAGAACAGTTTTACCAAAGATAAATTCATAATCTGGGTTTATATGTGAATTTATTCAGACTAGATTGTAAAATATTTTTATTATTAAAATGTGTGTTCATATCTTTAGGTTTATAATTTGCTTCCACATATAGCACGATTCCACAGCCCCAATGGGAAAAACGAACTTGTACAGATTTCTAGGCTTAAAAGTAGAGCTCTAATCCGCACAGTGCACAAAGCATGGCACAGTTATCTTCTAGGACACATAGTTTAGTATATTTTTTACATTTTGTTTTTGTTTTAAAAGATAAAACTTTAATTAAACCATTGTAACGAAACAATTTTATTTTCAAAGCCAAATTTTGTTAAATTCATTATATTTAAACAATTTTTTTGTAACTTTAACAGGTTCACAACTTAACGAATTAATTTACTGGTATTTGCGTGCAATTCGGTGTGCGCACCGACCGTAATAAAGCACTAGTCATATTCTTTTTAAATATTTTAATCTTGATCAATCAAGACTCATAAGAAATTTTTGATTTATTTATAATCTATTTTGTTATATTATTACTGTTTTTTTTTTTTTTTTTGTACCAAAGATATAATAAACCCAAAAACACCTATAACTTATAAACAAACTTCAATTAGAAAAACAACATGAAATTATGAAATAAAAACCAAGACCTGGACATTTTAAATGTATCAATTATTTGTAGAATAAAATTATTGATCTTATTTTTAACTGTGAGATTGAGAAAAACAACCTACCACCAATCAATCCCTCAACCATTTTTCTAACGATAAAATGAAATTAAGCTAACTTTTAGAAATAGCTTTATTTTAAACATTCAACATCATTTTATTAATGCCTAAACTAACTACCTACTGCAAAAAGTACATAACTAACCTAAATAAGGATCAGTAAGGACTCAACAAATAAATTATATCACAAGTAATTAAAACAGCTGTAACAGCAGAAACCCCTTATTTCATCCAGTAATGATAACAGAAGACCCAGAAAACCACTGATGTGGTAAAAATTTATACCTGAGGGCAACCTTATTCACTCTCTATAAAATGTCAATTTATGACATCATTCTATTGTGTCATATAGTAATTATGTATTGCTTGATCGTACAATTGTAGTTAGTAGCTGGACTGACAGAATTGCCATTTTGTATTCTTGTAACTTAAACATTTAATTCAGGAATTTGAGGTTATTATAATGAAATAAATTATTTTAAAAATTGACAAATGCAACATCCCACTATGTAAGAGAGAGAGTTACATACACAATTATCTAGTTTGAACAACAATTGAGGTCATATCACTTCCAAAAGTTAATTCAACAAATAAGTATAACATATTTTAAACCTATCAGGTTCTTCCAACTTTGAACAATATTTTCAACAGGATTATGAATAGCCCAATTATGAATAAATTTATCCAACATTGAAAAGGACAATATGCTGAACCAATTTTAATCTGGTTTTCATTCAGGACGTACCTGTCTACTGCTCTACTAAAAATAACTGAGAATATTCATAGATAAATTGATCAAAATTACTAAACAATTATTGTTTTATAATATTTCAAAAATGTTTTCAGGTCAGTCACTTTTCTTGGCGAGGCTTATTTCTTATTTTAACTTGGAAACTTGTTTTGTCACATTTGGATCATCAAACCAGACTATAGTGTGGTCTGCTGATGATTATTAAAATATATGCACTGCCCTCCTGGTAAATTTATTTGATATGTATCTCAAAAATTAATTTTAAAAACTGTTCATTTTGCTTCAATTTGAGCCAATAATCATTTGATTAATATTAATTGTCCTAGGAATTTTCTGATATTTCATTCACGACTCCCATAAAAAGGTAATAATCAATGTGAATCAAAATTATAACAATTACAAATGAGAAAAACAACCATGATTTTAAAATTTTAAAAGGGGGTACAAAAAAAGCTATAATTTTGCATATGATATGTAGAAATTGATATTTATGTAAGTTATATTCACCAGCAAAAAAAATTCTGTTTTTAAAAACAACCTTGTTTCTAATGGACAGAGGAAATGTTGATTGTACAATAAATTGGATTTGGATTTGTATAGGTTCAAATCTGCACATGTATGCACATATGTATCAAACATGTGCTGAGTTGAGCCTACTGGCTTCTCGTAATCCACTGGCAATTCCAGCTTTCGCTATTTACAGTAAATTGCCAGCAGACTCGAGAATCACCCATCCCAAGTTGGCAGTCCGAGACAGAACTCAGTCTTATCCGTCCAGCCACCGAGGTTGGGTTCAGAGGTGGGGGGTTGCTGTCAACAGCTAGCTAAATTCAGCACCCAACGCTTGCAGTTCCAATCCATTCATACTCACGTTCATTCTTAAATACATTCACTCCTATTTACATACCATTCATTCAATTAGGGTGATGGAATACCACAACTATACAAGTATACTCAATATTCCATCATCGACCCTCTCACATCACACATTCATGTTAATAAATACATTCATTTTCAACATGAAATAGGTACAACTATTATTAATATATACAATAGAATAACCCCATTTCCTCCAAGAATCGCCTTACTCAACCACAATTCACAAATCATGTGCCGATTGCACAATGGTGGAAATCTTCCTGTTCAACTCTGCTGCATATTTGGAATATAATTTTTATTTGATTGTAAAATACAAACTTAACATAAAAAGCTCTAAGCTTTACATGGCTGAGTCTTTCAAACGTTATCTTGCTATGATAAAAAAATATTTAACACAAAATTAAGAATGTTAAAAATGTGTAACATGTTTAAATAGCTGAAATAATGAAAATACCACAGAAACAGTGTCAATAAGTTCAAACAAAAAGTATTTATTTATACTAGCTGCGTTCATGAAAACTACAAATTTATATACATTTTATTAGGGCGTTGAGTAAAAAATGACGGTTTTTCAATTTTTTTAATCCTTTCCTTTCAATGTTATTTTTATTGGTTCTGCTTTATTCCTTTGACTATCATGAATAATTTAGTACACATTAAACCCAGAATTATGATCAGTTTGTGTTTGATAATTGATCAATCATAAAGTCTTGATTTGACGAAATTCTTCGTGACGAAATCTAAGAGATTGTTTTACAAAAGGCTAATCGAGAGAATTTATTAATGTAATAAGAAATTTTTATATAATAAACTAAGAATATCCATTTTTTTTCAATGATTTGCAATTTAAAAAACTAAACTGAAAATAACTTTCTAGCCTTGAAGTAAGGAATGCTAAAATTAAAAAAATGTTTGCATGGAAGCAAGAAAATGGAAGCACAGAAGCAAGACGTTAGTTTCTCTCGGACGCATGAGAGCAAGTCACGATGGAAGCCAGTTGTGGATGCAGTCCCTTATCAGCCCGTTTTAGGGATTAGGGAGCAAGGGAATGGGTCAGCGTTTAAATGGAAACAAAATATGTATGCTAATTACTTTGTAGTAAACAATAGTACTTGATTTTAGAGTGGCCTCTTCCACATTTATGCCATGAAAACACTGGAATCTGTTGCGTTTCAGGAGTAAACGTGGTACTCTATATGAGCACCCACTGACTTATCAGACCTACATTAGGGCCTATCAATTTTTTTTTTCTGCAAAGTTGGTAATGTGTTGGAATCCATTAATATTAAAAGGAAGTATTTGTGTGTCACAGCTTTGGTATCTGTTTCAGTTCTACCATCTAGTACATTAGAAAAAAATGAACAAAAGAAATTTCATGTTTTAAGGACTAGCATGCACACTAACCTTACTGCCAGCAGAGAGAGTTAACTTACAATTTGTAAATTCCCCCTGAAAAAAGAAAAGCATACGTTAAAATGAGAGATAGATAGATGACATTTAAATAGTAAATATTATATAATTGAAATTTACCCTCTGAAGGCAACAATCCTCACATTAAAACAGCATTGATGAACCAGCTACGTCTGTGCACTGTTAAACACTCACTGAATTATTTTACGCACTGTTTAAATATCACTTTGCAAAACCGAGAAAATAATAACTGAAAACTTTGAAAAATATAATTGCATGAAATCCTTAACAACTTTTAACCATTACAAATATTGAGGTAAGGAGGTTAAAGAGCTTGTCGAGTCTGAAAATCACAAATCCTTAAACTTCCACCTTAGCAGGTAATATATCTGTGTATAAATACCTCAACATCACATGGAAGTACAGAAAGTTTCTTTTGGAGAACTGTAACTACTGAGACATGTAAGATTGGAAATAGTTTGTGATGTCAATAAAAAAAAAATTTCAATTAATAATACTTTTAACCTTAGGTCTTGGTTGAAACGAAAAGGTTAGTGTCACTAGCGAGATTCGAACCCATGACCATCAGCTCAATATGCCGCTGTTCTCACCACTTGAGCTATTGTGTCTCCAAGATTCAAGTGGTTAGAGCAGCAGTGTAGGTGTATTGAGCTGAAGGTCAAGGTTCGAATCCCGCTCATGACACTAACTTTTTCATCGCAATCAAGAACTTAGATAAAAAGAAAATATAATTAATTGAAATAATTAATACAGTCAATTATGACTGCAAACACATATGGATTAAAAGAAAAAATATTTAGCTAGGGTTTTATTCAGTTTTATCTGCCTAACTGTCCAATCAACCAGGGTTTGATTAAAATTACTCTTTCATAGTTTATAGTGGTAATTTCATTTCGATTAAGACCAATGTACAAAAAAAAAGAAAAATCTAAACAAATTCTAAGATAGATAGTTATATTTGCTAATTTATTGATTGTGATTGAATAATCTTAGACAATTTAAATTGTTCCAAAAAAAGTAATTGAGTCAACAAAGAACTCAATGTTCCTTCTTGACTCTGATGCTGTCTATACCTTTCTTCTTTTTTTTAATTACAGAGATAGGCCTGGCCACACTTTCATAGGGACTCGCCTAACGAACTGCACCATACTGGATACGGGACTGGTTAAGCGCATAATAAATATGTGTTTTACAAAAGGATCTGACTACTCTGAAGTTGTCAAAAAAATAGATGACGGGGCATCGGTGGCCGCAACGGTTTACACTTTGACATGGCCCTCTCTCTGTAAGGTAAAGGTCCCAGGTTCAAATCCAGTAGCCATGCATTCGAACCTGACATACAAATGGGCTTTTTTTAAACATCGTCACACCAGAGCGAGCATTCATGTAATCTAGATGAAATATCCTCATCAAAAAAAAACAAAAAAAATGCTTTTCTAAATAAATTCTAAAATCGGTGGTTATATTTGCTTAATTTAATGGCTGTGATTGAATAACTTTAGACAATTTAAATTGTTCCGAAAAAAGTAATTGAGTCAGCAAAGAACTCAAGGTTCCTACTTGACTCCAGTGATGTCTATAGTTTTCAATAAAATTGTCATTTCTATGAAAACACTCCCAAAGCGCTCTGAGCAATAAAAAGGCAAGGAAAATTTCTTAAACAGTGGTAGCGAACTTTCAGTTCTACTACAAAAAGTGTCCTTTCTGTTTTTGAACTGAAGAGATAGGACTGGCCACACATTCATAGAGACTCACCTAACAATCCGCACCGTACTGGATACGGGACTGGTTAAGCGCATAATAAATATTGTTTTACAAAAGAATCTGACTACTCTGAAGTTGTCAAAAAAATAGATGACGGGGCATCGGTGGCCGCAACGGTTTATACTTTGTCATGGCACTCATCACCGAACATGTGGTAAAGGTCCCAGGTGCGAATCCAGTAGCCATGCATTCAAACCCGACATACAATTGTTTTTTTTTAAACATCGTCACACCAGAGCGTTCATATAACCTCAAAGTTGAAATACCTTGTACAAAAAAATGGATGAATTGCAGAAACAATTCAAGGACCTTAACCTCAAAACCAATTCAAGGACCTAACCTCAAACCAATTCAAGGACCTAACCTCAAAACCATGCCAAATTGACATCTTTCAGTCAATTTCATTTCATTTTCAAAAATTTGCTTATTTTTAATATTCCTGAGTACTCTTCTGTCGATACAAATGAACGCATAGACTACGATAAAAAAAATATAATTAAAAAATATTATTAAAACCACACTTTGACGGAAGATGAAAAAGCTAATATCGTTACGTCTTTCAGACTTGGTAAAAGTTATCCAAATAAAAATAGATACTTGAGTCATATTTGACAATGCTACTTCGGCCAATTCATTTTTTTTTTTATCGAAACAAGTTATTTATGTAGAAATCAATATTTTATTTTGAGAAAAGACGCCAGGGGATGAGGATGTGATCTGCAGACTACGAATACGCCACACTTACCTAACACGGCAATTTAACGGACCGCGGTACTTGAAGTCAATGCGGAGAAGAAGTAAGACTCAAGAACCCGCCAAATCCAACGTCCAACTCACTGCCTCGTTTATCACCGAATATCTTTAGGCGATGACCATGTATAAAGTTATAGAAAATTTAAAAAAAATTATATAGAAAAATTTAACAAACAAATTAGCTTTTGATTAATTAAGAAGGAATTTTAAACAAATATAAATGCCTGTGCTTGCCATGACGCAGAAAAAAATGCAAGTTGACACCTCTAATTCCTAACTCATATAAAATAAGTAATATTATTATATTTTAATTATATTTTTTAGTTTTTAGTTAAAACCAAGGCAATTTGAAAATTTAAGAAAAGCAGTATTTTTAAGAGTAAGCCCCACTTGGTATAGAGTGCAGCTCAACGCTTTCGAACCTCCCAGGAATGTTTTCGGTCCGATAACCTTCTCTTTAGAGTTCTTTCGGGTTGTCCCGTATTTTTTAATTTTTTCATTAATTAACTAGAATTTGTTTGTGGACCGTAGTGACATGTCGTATTTAATTAACGAAAATTACGTTCGCTACGAGTGTACGTGCGGATGTTTGATGCCAATATCGCGTCTCTATTTCTGTCGACACTGTCTTAAAATCCGATGTGGCTACTGTGTCTGCCACGAAGTAAGTTCCAGAGTTTTTTTTCTTGTTGAAATCCGAATAAAATGTCAGTGTTTCGAAATTAAATCTTTTAACTTTGAATCTCATTAATTCATAAAGTATTAATAAGTTATATTTCTTTCTTGATAATTTATTTAGTACGTAAAATGAAATCATGACCTTTAACCATTTTGGATCATTTAGGCTTGGTAATAATAATCAGTGCAGGTTCTGGCAAGAAGGCAAGGAAAATATAATAGGCGTGGGGTAAAAATAGTACAGACAGAAGAAACACCGCAGATACTGCCAGGAAGAGGAGAAGTCTGCAGAACATATTTTATGTTTCTGTGAAGCTCTATGTAGGTGCAGGTTCTTGCAACAAGGCAAGGAAGAGATAATAGGCGTGGGGTAAAAATAGTGCAGACAGAAGAAACACTGCAGATACTGCCAGGAAGAGGAGAAGACAGCAGAACATATTTTATGTTTCTGTGAAGCTCTATGTAGGTGCAGGTTCTTGCAACAAGGCAAGAAAAACTGCAAGGAAGAGATAACAGGCGTGAGGTAAAAATAGTACAGACAGAAGAAACACTGCACATACTGTCAGAAGAGGAGAAGACTGCAGAACATATTTCATGTTTCTGAGAAGGTCTATGTAGGTGCAGGTTCTTGCAACTAGAACAAGAAAAACCGCAAGAAATATCCTACACTAAGGAGCCACTGGCAAAGCTGTTGAGGTTTATTAACTACCTGAAGCTGGCCAGTGAGTTACAAAAAACAGGTCGAGGTGCAGTAGGCCTATTGGCCGCCGCTTTTATCCTGAACCCTATTCCTAAGGTATGATTGTTTAATCAGATAATAGGCCTGGGGTAAAAATAGGCGTATAGACAGAAGAAACACTGCAGATACTGCCAGGAAGAGGAGACGACCGCAGAACGTATTTTATGTTTCTGTGAAGGTCTATGTAGGTGCAGGTTCTTGCAACTAGGAAAAGAAATACCTTAGGAAGGATTCTACACTAAGGAGCCACTGGCAAAGCTATGGAGGCTAATTAACAACCTGAAGCTGTTGAGTTATAAAAAACAGGGGAGCACAATAGATCTAGGTCGAGGTGCAGAAGGCCTTGCGGCCATCTCTTTTATCCCTATGCTATAAAAAATAAATGAGCATAATAGATATACTTTGGTTGAGGTGCGGAAGGCCTTCCGAAGGTGAAAAACTGCTAGGTTATCATCACCTAATAAAACTTCGTGATTCCTCTGAGACAATGTAGGTATCCCAGGGGCCAGAGCGGGAAGGGACAAGTTCCCTCGTTCAGTCCATTATGGATCCAGAGATGGGGCTGGACACAAACCCGGCAAAGAGGAATCATAAAGTTTGATAATAATATTAAAAGGACTGTCCATAATTAATTGTCATTTTGTTTAGTTTAATCATAATTATTATTTTTATTTACCTATTATATTACTGTACGTTTTATTTTATTTACTTTTCAAGTGTTTAAGAACTGTATCAATTTTACTTTGATCCTGACCTAAAACTTCGACCAAGGTGCACGGATTGGTAAGTTCAGAGATATAACTGCATTGTAGAAGGCCTTGTGACCGCCTCATTTTTCTCTTTCACTCCCAGACCCTTCGTTTCTTTTCTGATATAAACTGCTCAAAAATGAATAGGAATATTTGTAATTTATTCTTATTCTATTAATTTTAATTAAATCAACCGATAAATTATTGCTAGTTGGATAAAACAAAATAGAAAATACAAACCAAAAGCAAACAAATGTTATCCTCATTTTTAATAATGGATTTAATTAAGAATTGTAAATATGAAGATTGCTCATTTAGTAAAAGAACATCTTTTCTCTATTTTAATCCAGTTGTATTATCTTTAATCAAGGAAAGATATGATCTTGAACTAGAAGTTTACAATATTATTGTGAGAATGAGTCGTCATTGGTGTTCCTCAGAGTGTGGTCTCCCGGCTTAGCTTTAGCGTTTTCTCTCGCAGTTGCAAGAATCTACATCTACACCCTTACAAAAACAGGTCTCCTTTTCTTCCTGACAGTATCTGCACAGCACGTGCCTTCCTAGCCCTTGTACATACTTGCATACAAAGTCAAGCGATTTTTGTATCTAGACAATCTATATAAACACAGGTCATTGATGTCACTGACTTCTTCCAGGGATTCCATACAATACAAATCCCCATGCTTTTTGCCTTTACCTAAAGGGCCCACTCATGGGGGACTCTCACATACGAAATGCTGGACTTTTGGCATTCCAGACGCCTGGCGTAAAGGAAAAGTTGGAATTCCTGTATTCAAAGGAAAGAGGAGTCCTTTTCCTCTCCTAGTTGCAAGAACCTAACCTACACCCTCACAAATGGTGATATTATTATATTCAAATAAAACAAACTGTTGTTGCGTGATTTTATTCGAGGGAGATACATAATTCAACTGAGTTGAATCAAGTTGCATGACAGTCCGATGTAAACTGATGCACCAAAGGGAAATGTTGGCATCACCATGAATGGACAAAATGCGATGGATTCCTGGTGCCTGAGGTGTCTCATACCCAGGAGTCCTATGAGTGGGTGCTTTAATTGCCGCCTGATTGTCAGAGGAAAAGGCTATCTATCTTCCTGGATTGCCCTAGCCTTTTTATTTCTTTGGCGCAGGTTGAATTATTATGATTTCAGACTGAAATATTAGCATATTTGCCTAACTTTAAACTCAGTTCAGTCTTCACCTCATGAAATCCAGCTCCCGTGCCTCTATGCATTTTTGAGCCACCAATGTAGCAGTTTTAGCCTTCAGCGGTATTTCTTTGGCTCACTTTTCCCTTTCTTGTATACGTATTGTACTTGTTGGTAAAGTTTGGAGTAGTGGCATCGATTGGCATGCCTTGTATGGTAGCAATTGCCTGTATCAACTCCCTAAGTTTCTATTGTTCGTTGACATGGCCTGGCATTGCAGATGGATATCCATTTATGAGCTTGTGAGCCTCTCCTCTGGCTTCTTGGATTAGAATATGGAACGATGGATGGTTGTCTATGGGGCACCAACACTATCACAGAATGGATAAGCAAGCACTTATTCATTATTTCTTAACTGCACATGTATGATATTCATGCCATTGTACCCTCAACACGATGCTATTTTTTTAAACATATATCACAGACTTATAACAAATTTTAAAGATTGAAAAAAATTAATACAAAACCACTTACTGAACTACCAGGTAAACAAGACTCATAAATCTGATAAATTTTACACCACAATTATCAATGTCAATCAGCCGAAATTGGGTTGAACAATGTGCAGGCTTCATTTATAATGCCACGCTTCCAACTGTAAGCAAATTTAATTTATTTCTAGCTGTAAGCTGTTCAATAATGTGCTACGGTAGTATCACATCGTCATTATTTAATGATTTTTTTCTGAACTTCTTTATTCATAAAAAGAATAAGTAATTAGGATAATTAATATAGTCCATTATGACCAACAAGCAAATATGGATTAATTTATTCATAAACTTTATTTACCCCTAACTATTATTCCACTTTAGTTGGAAGAATTGGTCAATTTTCTGTTCATATAAATTTTAAAATTATGCTTTCATATCTAACGTTAATCTCCCTGATCTCTTCTGTCCTAAATTATCAGCTCTAAAAGTGATCTCATCCAATATTTTCTGGTTTTATTTGAACATTTGTATTCAAGAAGCTGATTTCGACTCGAATTGCTGGTTTTCAGTTGATGGTTGATCTGATCAAATTTTTGCTGAACCAGGATGGGGTCACTTATTGGGTCCACCTTCACTCAAATTGGTGGTAATACTCAGATGCATTTTGCCATCTTCAGTGATCCCTAACGTCAATTCTGTCAATTTGTTTTTCTTCTTATTTTTATTTTCACTCTACTCTCCAGTTTATGTATTCAAGATTTTTTTTTCCTTTCTTTTTCTCACGCCTTAATTTTTGGATTATTTTTGGTCTGATTTTGTTCTAATTTTGGAACAGCCTCAGGTAGACGGTTTTGAAAACCACACCATTTGTGTACTTTGTTTTTTCATTTGTATTTGATTTCATAATTTTATTCAATAAAGTATATTTATATTCTATTCTATTGATGGTTTTTTTTTTTTTTTTTTTTGTGAAAAGTAAATTTTATTTTTTAAGTTGAGATGTTTAAGTGAGAGAAACATTTTAGGAAAACCAGGTTGAGAACTCTATCATTATCTCATAGCTTATAGCTTTTTGTATGCTATCAAATGATAGAATGACTTTTGATATTTATTAAAAATAAAAGGTAGGTAGGATAGGTCCATGTAGAACATACCATGGACAAGAACTGTAATTTATTGTAAAACTTAATTTAGAGGTATGCAGATTGGCATTATTAATCTACAGAAAGTGCAGCCTTGGGATACAGCGTTTTCTAGGTTGTAATCGGAAACGAAGGAAAATGCTTTCTGTGTCAATGAAAGCTTTCCTTTTTTAAAACAACAACTTTTGAGATGTAGATGTCTAAGAAAACCAGATTATCTCTTGTACTTCCACTCTTTGAAATCCATTTTCTCAGTTGTTTTTTCAAAATTTAAGCCGCTTTAACAAAAAATGTAAACCAATTTTTTTCTTTAATATACTTGATTTGTTAAATGTTTTGTCATTTCCAGTTAAAAAAAAAAATTTCACTTTGTTTAAAAGGTCGATAGTCATTACTGTTCCAATTGCATGGAACACTTATCTTCTGCTGAAGCAAAAGTGAAGAAGAACAGGTGCAATACTTGCTTTGACTGCCCAAACTGTTTTCACACGCTTTCAGTCAGAGCAACAACTAGACACGCCGAAGATGGCTCTACAAAAGCACCGACTAAACATTATTATTTATCTTGTTTTTTCTGTCGGTGGACGACAAGAGATGTCGGGATACCTGAGCAAACTGTTGGTACGTGAGTCAATCAGCAAAGTTTTGCATAATATTTTTTTATTAATTATATTTTTTAGCCTCAGGAAATTGGCCTATTAAAGAGAATCCTCATGCTGAAAAGCTTTCCAGTTTTCTTGAATATTACAAATTGGTAGCAGTCAGAGAAAAAAGCCAAAGGGAGAAAAAAACCTTTGGCCCTCATCGTAGGGGCTATACTTCAATTACTGTAAATTATTTTTTAATTAAAAAAAAACATGTTTGAGATTAATTTGATAAATTTAAGGATAAATTTGGCCTGACTTCAATGATAGCAAGAAAAAGGGCTGGTCTTCCATCTTTACCACTAGGCGGTAAAGATATGAGTCCAAAATCTCTTCCACTGATTAAGCCTTGTGAAGCTGTGGAAGATATCAAACCACTTCCAGAAGAATTTTTCACTTCAGCTCCAGACCTTACAAAAGGTTTTAAAAATTCAAATAAAAAGAGTAAACAGAAAATTTAATGATTAAAATTTCAGTGACCACGATTGCCCAAAGGCACTCAAATCCAATGCTTCAGCCAGAGAAAACAAGCGATTTGCACCCTCAACTTCGGCAATTTTACATTAAATGCTCACAAAGGTGCAGGAGTTGTGAACATAACGTCTCAAAACCTGAATATAATCCAGGATCAGTGAAATTCAAAATTAGAAATGCTGCTTAGTAAGAAAACTGTCATTTTAAAACATTACAGCAATGTGTAGACTTGTTTTCATTTTTAGTTATCACATGCCTGAAGTTAGGATAATGACGTGTGAACCTCTACAATCAGGGCACACTAGTGAAATAATAATTAAAGTTGTCAATCCGACTCAGCATATGACAACATTACAATTCAGTCCGTATCAAAAGCTGAATGAAGATGATAATCAGGTTGTTAAAATGTTAAGAATTAAACATAGAATTTTGTTTAATTTTAATTATTAATTTATAATTTTTAGGATTTGACATTAAGCCAAATTCGAAAACCAATCTGCAATGTGGTATCAAATACCGATATAGATTTGCCATCTTCTTCGATAATTCTACCTAAACTTGATGACGCGGCGGAATATGCAGAAGCCAGCGACACCCAACATTTTCAGGATGATCCAAAGTACGTTCAAATGAGTCACAAAAACGCTAAAAATTGTAACAATGCAAATTTTTGTAGAGTGGTTGTTTGGAGGAGGGGAAACAAAGCGGCGATAAAATTTACAATTACTCCGGATAAATCTCTTGAGAAAGGGACTGAAGTTATATTTTCTTTCTCCCTCGAATATAGCTATATAAACACAATGGCAACGTTGGAATCGAAACAACCACAACGTAGTGAACTCCAGGCCAACGTTTTCGTAAATCCTGGACAAATTGTAGGAAATACGAATGTGAGTATGAAAATTTTTTTAAAATTTATTTTGCATTATTAGATCACTGTTTTTGTTTATTTCAGGATGATTAGGGTGCTTGAATACAACACATTCCTCATGTCTTTACTCAACATTTTGATGGGAAGCTATATTACTAATTAGCTATATGCTTAATGCTTACTTTTATCACTAATTTTTTTAAGCAAAAAATCACCAAACATTATTTATTACACATGTATTATTATTTAAAAAAATTATGTACAATAACTAAAAGGTATTATTATATGGGAAAGAGTTTCTGATATAATGATGTTTTCTTCCTCTTTTAATAATTTATTTTTTACTTTTTTTCTAATTACGAATCTTGAAAAATCAATGTTTATGTACTAAATTTTTTAGAAGCGTAAGCAAAAAATGCTTGTATTGCACAAAAATGTAAATAAATGTCAAATTATTAAAGTGATCGTCTTAATTTAATTATAAAAAAATTATTGGAATAAGTACTACGATAATTTATTTTATTTGTATTTATTTTTATTATTAACAAAAACTAAAATCCAACGGTTTTTTAAACTTATTTTAAAGGGGGCTTCAAAAGTCCTGAATACCTAGCAGTGTTGAACGTGGCCAAACTGGGATTGACACCGTGCTTGCTTCACCATAGCCTTGTGTCTTCGAATTATTTCTACTCCAGTCACGACGACGACAAGCCCTGTAAAGTTTTATAGGGAAATAAAACAATTAAACAGCATAATTATAAAAAAAAATTACCTAATAAGGCTGGTAAAATACATATCAAGAAGTTTTTATCTATTATTTCAAGTTTTCTTGGATTTTCCCTAATTATTCCTGTTTCAGCAGATGCGATAACAGCACAGTTGCAGTGATGACCTTGATAAAACAAAAATAATATATTAAAATCCCTAGTTAAATATACAATGCATTGTAGTGAGCACAAACATGACCATTTAAATATAAGTAATTTAGGAAAAAATTTCTGTACTAATATTATTAATACTTTCAATATCAGAAATAATTCTAGAAAAAGTTCTACAAAGGCATCAATTCAATTTTGGATAAATGTGCATGAATTTGAGGTCAAAACATCTGAACTTATTAAATTCACTAATTTCGTGGTCCGCTTGACCAATTAATTTATTACTATTAATTAAGGTTTTTAGTTGAGATAAGATCTGAACTTATTTTTGTGTAAAATTAAAAACTACCTGTACACTGCATTACTGTTTTTACCCAAATTGATTGTTAGGTCATGGGCAGTCATAACGTTAAAGTTGATAGTGTTGGTCTGTAAGTAGGTGAAACATGTTGAGCCGGTGCATCTACCCAAAAACTTATGGGTTTTTGGTGTAGCTCAAATACCCGGCCTCACGGGATAGGGCGAATCGGACGGCAGCGTACAAGTGTTGAGGACGCTTTGATTATGCTGAAAAGTCCCTCAAATGTGTGAGTAGTGGCGGATGGGAACGGGTAGTGAATCGGTTGCTCCTGCTCGAGTATGCTTTGCACGTAGGCTGAGCTCAATTGGAGGCTTTTACCGAAGGCGGTACTCCTCTAGGGGTGGTTAGCAATTCCACTTTAAACAAAATTGCGGCCGGAGCGGATCCGGTAGTTTCTACGCTAAAGAAGCCCCAATACTCTGGGAGAAAGAGTGGTCTTCTCTATCTAGGGAGTGCGCGGGAGATCGGGCTGATGAATTTCGGCTTAGGTAGCCCTTTGCGCACGGCGTTAATGCAGGCCCGACCATTCGGAATAGGCAAGGGAGCTTGGGGCTGAGCTGCCTCTACGCCAATGCTGCGGAAGCAACACCATTCTGTTGTATGTGAAGGTGCATCAGCTCACATCTTGAGAATCAAAACGTCCAATAAGGCCGAATAGGCTAGGTGTGACATTCAAGGTCCTCATTGTCCATTTTAGGACGACCGAGTATACGGGAAAGACTGTAGCTCAAATACATTTTGGCTTTCTCTTCGTAAGATGACACAAGTATCATAAAAAAACCAGTGCAGGTTCAACAAATTATTTTTAGTATTGGGTGGTAATCAGGAGCTTATTCTTTGGTGTTACCCTTCCTTAGACTTGATTGAAAGTCCTACGTTTCAGATTTTAAAGTACTTTTTTCATTAAAGGTGGGACCCATTGCTTGGAAGGCATGATAGGCCGATAGAGCAAGGTCAGGGGACTTAGTTTTGTGTGGTAGAGGCTTATCTACTGCCTTGATTTGTTAGGATTGTGTAAATCTACTCTTTACACGCTGTTAGAATTCATTATAACAGAAAGATAGTGAAAAATGGCCATTTTTTTTACTTTACTCACCTATGAATTGTATTCTTTAACTTACCTCTAGTGCACTGTTTATGAAGTTTGTTGCTAATGTGGCCACCTGTCTCAGTTTGATTAGCTTTTGAGAGAATCATTTGTAAGAATACGTCAGGAAAAAACTGTTGGAAAGGAATATTGTTTGTGCTGTTTTGGTCTTCGAACTCCTGTGTATTTTTTATTGGAATATCAAACATGCTCGGTACTGGGATTTCCTCTCTGTTTGAGTAACTCTTAAAAGGGGAAAATATTTGGAAAAATATACTACGTGGTTTGCTTCTTGAGGCAGTTATGATTTTATCTTCTGGCTCGAAGAAGTTTTCCATCAGAGTTCTTGGGTTGAAGGGCAAACTGATATCATCAAACTTTGATTCAAATGCATTGGAAATTATATCGGTGAAGGAAGGCAGTTTGAAGATGAAAGCATCTGCGGTCTTGTTTTTGTTCAATGTTTCCGTCTCAGGCCCTGATGGACTCAAAGAGTTTTTCTCCATCGGTATAGCCATCACCAAATAAAGTTGGCAAATGAGACCTAAAATAATAAATTTCAGATGGGTAGTGAAATTTATTTGCTGCTTGATTTTACACTTACTTTAACATTGGAGATGTATAATTAATTAATTATATTGTGCAAAGTAAGGTTGAGATGGAAAATTATAGGAATTTTTCATCTCAACCTTACTTTGCGAAAAATAATTAATTAAAAATATATACTAAAATTAGTTAAGTTGATTAAAAAACAGAAGATTTGTGTAAGTTAAATTCTGGCAATTAGTCATTACAGATAAAATCACTAGGTTTTTGTATTTTATATTATTATTTATTTTTTTAAATGAGGTTGTATTAAACCTGTGTGCTGATGTTTAAAAAAAAGTCCATCTTAAGGACCTTACAGTGATGAGCGCTTAAACAGTTGCGGCCACCGACACCTCTTACAACTAGTCTAAAGGCTGTGAGATTCCAAATAGTAAATTTTAATTTTAAAAAATTGTACCTTTAATTTATTATTTATATTAAATTTATTATTTTTGTAAGTCAATTAAATGCTGTCAGTGAAATTTAAATAGCTTATCTTAGTGCTTTTACATCAAAATGTGTATTTTTATGATAAATGTTATTAAAAAGATAAATCTTTTATTACAGCCCTTACCTGACAACACTGCTAAAACTCTCCAGTGAGTCATTTTCTAATGTCGTTAAGTTGTTTTTCACAGTGAAAAGTGAAATAATATCATCTTCATTTGAATCTAAAAACAATGTTATAATAATTTAGCCCCTATGAAAGTAATAAGAATGCCAGGTTTTTAACCATTGAAATGTTCAGTTGTTTTAACATGTGAGTTTTTAAATTGTTAAGACAATAAATACAGCAGGAATTAAATTGATTGGTTGTTAATATGATTTTGAGCAAAAAATGTCTACAAAACACCAAGAAAAATGAATTATTTGCAGTACTTATAAATCCTTTATTTACAAAATACATACAGCTATATAAGTTTTATTTTATTGTGAATTAAGGGGCTTTTTTGTTTGAAAGCAAATCTTGTCTCGATTCAATAGCTTCTGAATTTCTGAAAGAAAAATTTGGCTGTCAATATTGGTCAAAACAGTGAAATCATTAATTGAATAAGAGCAAAAGAAGTTTTGGATGAACTTGTAATCCATAAACAAAAGAGAGACTATAACAAAAAATTTAAAAAATCCCTCACGCAGGGGCTAGCAGAAGCCCTTAATAAGATGACCTGAAAAATTATCAATTTGGTTTGGTTAAGATTAAATAAATTTAAAAAAGTAAATTTTAGAGTTCTTGGGAATGTAGAACACCAGCCATAATACTGAGACCACAAAGGTACACAATTGTGAAGCAGAGAGGGCAATGGTGCTGCTAACTACCTACGACCATTGAATATGCATCAGCAGAAACCCAAATAATGGCCAGAGTAAATTATCGGTTTGGTTTGGTTAATATTAAATTAAAAATCAAACAAGCACTGTAATTCTTGGGAAGGCAGAACACCAAATATCTCTCATCTTTAAAGAGGAGAGGGCATTGGTGCTCCTACGACCATCAAATATGGACCAGCAGAATCTCTAAATAAGATGGCCAGAATTATCAATTTTGATTGGTTAGGATTAAACTAGAAACAAGTAAATTCTGGAGTTCTTTTAAAGGCAGAACACAGGTCTTAACACTGAGATCTAGAAAGTACTTAACCTTAAAGATGGAGGGGCAATAGTGTTCCTATGGCCATTGAGTGTAGACCATCAGAAGCCCTAAATATGTTGGGCAGAATAAATTATCAGTTTGGTTTGGTTAAGATTAAACTTAAAAAACAAATCAACCGAACGGGGACAAGACTAACAACTCAAAATTAAAATTGAACATTTTAAACAATGAAAAAAATATTAATTTCATCTGCTTTGGGCAAATTTTTGACTTATTGTATTACAGTAGTACCATCTATGATCTTATGTTTTAATTTTGAAAGTTAATATAAAAAATATTGCTAAAAAACTTGCTATTTATGAGAAATAACTGAAACAATACACAGTTAACCTAAAAATGAAAAGTTTGACAAGAAATGAACAAAAAAAAAGTAGGCCTACTATTCAGAAGTGTATTAAAGTTGATGTAATACATTTTGAGGACATATTTTATTTATCCATTTAAAAATAATATTGGTTGTTTTAGTGATTATTAAAGGAAAAACCCTAAATTTTTCCTTGCATGTGGTGTCTCTGGTGTTGGTGTCTGTTGAATTTATCTTATGCATTTTTAATTTTGAAATTTAACATAAAAATTATTGCAAAAACTTGTTATTTATGATAAATAACTGAAACAATACATAGTTAGCCTAAGAAATAAAAAATTATAAGTAATGAATACAAAATAAATAAAAAAATCTAGACATAATATTTAGAACTATATTAATGTTGATAAAGTACTTTTTGAGGAATATTTTAATTATCCATTCATAAAGAAAATCAGTTGTATTAGTGATTATTAAAGGAAAAACCCTAAATTTGCAAGAAGTTTTTATTAGTGAGAAAATTTGCTTTGCATATGGGAAGTCTCTAGTGTTGGCAACTGCTGAATTTATTTTATGTTTTTAATTTTGAAAATTAATATAAAAATTATTGGTTACAAAAACTTGTTATTTATAAATTATGAGAAATAACTGAAACAATACATAGTTGGCCTAAGAATTAAAAATTTTTGTAAGAAATTAATATAAAAAAAATGTAGACAATATTCACAAGTATATTAACATTAAAATAGTGAGGACATATTTTAGTTATTCATTTATAAAGAATATTGGTTGTTTTTGTGATTGTTAATGGAAAAACTAAATTTGCAAGAAATTTTTATTCGTAGGAAAAATTTTTCTTTGCATGTGGTGTCTCTGGAGTTGGTGTCTGTTGAATTTATCTTGTTTTTAATTTTGAAATTTAATATAAAAAATATTGCTAAAAAAATTGTTATTTATGATAAATAACTGAAACAATACATAGAAATAAAAAATTATAAGTAATGAATACAAAAAATAACAAAAATTTAGACATAATATTTAGAACTATATTAATGTTGATAAAGTACTTTTTGAGGAATATTTTAATTATCCATTCATAAAGAAAATTGGTTGTTTTAGTGATTATTAAAGGAAAAGATTTTATTTGTGGGAAAATTTGCTTTGCTTGTGGCGTCTCTAGTGTTGGCGTCTGTCGAACCTGACAGGCTACCTTCCAAGTACTAGCTTCATCTTCACGTTCAGTTCTACCTCGTTAAGTTCCAGAGGCGTACTTTAAGAGAGGTACGTCCTGGTTCGTCTTTAAAAAGCCGCACGTTTCCCGTGCGGTTCAACGTTTAATTTTAGCAATACAGTTGAAATTTTTATAAAAGATAAGATGGAATGTTGAAATACCGTTGTTAACCGAGGCAGAGGCGTTTATAGCATTATTTGATCAGACCCCAAGTACCTATTGGTACCCAAAGGCGAAGGTATGTCTCGTGCGGCGAGTAATCTCAGCACCGGCGAGAAATTGCTCTCCATCATCGATGACATATCATTAATATCGAAGTATGTTTGTTTATTTATTTACTTTTTTCATAGCTGAAATATATTGTTTTTTCCTTTACAGGGAGATAATTGAAAACGCAATAGCAATGAAGCACCAGAAGCTATGTGGTGCGGAACAGCTACATTTGACAGAGCTGTTGATCGTTAAGGACAACGAGCTGAAAGATACCTTGAAACTAGCTTCCGAGCAGGCCAAAATAAATCAGAAAATGGATCTGCTGCGAGCAGAGGTCGATAAATTGGATCAGGACATTCAACAGCTACAGAGGCAGTTAAAAGAAGCAGAACAAATTTTGGTAATAAACACATTTTTTAAATATTGAAAAACGTAAACAAACTGAAATCCTGTTGAACCGGCACTGGGTTATTTATTGGATCTGTCAAAGTCATTTTAGCTTGAGCCTTCAGACAGTTCCTCACTGATGATGGCACAGAACTGAAACTCGAGTAACTTCAAAAACTGCAAAGTATAGACAAACCCATTAAGGAACCCAGTGCTGGTTCAACATGTGTTCCACCTACTCACAGACCAACATCCACCATCAACTTTAACCAACATACACTTTTATAAATGTTTGTATATCTAAAGTGAGGCATAAACAAATATGCAAAGTTAGAGCGCTTGTATACATCTGTTTTTATTTTTATTGTTGTTTATTTTATTTTTTCATTGGACAACGGACCATGTTTTGTAATGGTGTGTACATGCACCGGATATCGGTCTGGTGACTATTTACTGCCGGGTGCTCCTCCGGCCCCTCTCAGTGCAACAGACACCTATCTGGCATAAGAGAGGGCAGTCAACCACAGCCACTTCTGGTGGTCCTATCACCCATTTTCTGCAAATTGCTTGCATCCCTGTTTCTTTAAAATATCATATTTATATTATGTGTTTTAAATTATCATGTACCATTATCAATAATCTTCGACCCATGGCCAAAGTTAAAAGCACCATCGTCCTCTGCACTCCATGGTAGAGTACCTTCCAACACTTGTTGTTCGGCCTTTCCAAAAATTCCAGAATTGACTGTTTTTTTAGTTTAATCTATAAACTGCTATAATGATTATTTTATTCAGGTTGATCAATGTAAGCCAATTTTTAAAGGCAATAGCCGTTGCCTAAAACTGAATCTTGCGATAAAAAATTTGCTACAGGCCTTTTCTTGGCCTTCTCACCAGACCACTCGAATAAGGAACCAAGAATTTGAGGACAACAAATTTATTGAAGGTGTGCCACATCACAAAAGGAACCTGTGGCCTGATTGAAAACTTTAATTTTCAAATGAATGAATAAAATTAACCACAAACATAAAGTATAAGTATTGAAAAAATAAATAAAAATTAGCTGAAGCTTGTCCAGATGATAAAAAGACTGCCTGTCAAGTGCTTGTTTTGTGCCTACAGTTAAATAGATTTTTCATAATCAACATGATTTTTGTTTTTCTCCAAAATTTGTTATCTTTTGGACAAATCTGACTAATATTTCAGACACCCAATTGGTAATGTTTGACATGAGGATCCTGAAGGGATAGTAAATTAATTAATTAGCTCTGAGAGGAGGAGGGCCTAAGTTTTTCAGCCTTAGTTGACAAAATTTTAAGCTGTTAAGGAATAAGTTTGCCAATTCAGTTGATAATTTTTTCCAGGCTACAGCCATTTACCAAGCAAAACAAAAGCTTCAATCAATCAACAGGGCCAACAAGAGGCCAGTGTCATCAGAAGATCTTATAAAATTTGCCCATAGAATAAGTGGGTCAAATTCTGTGTGTGCTCCTCTAACATGGCAGCCGGGTGATCCTAGGCGACCCTACCCAACTGGTAAAAAAATCCCGTTTAAAGTTTTTTTTTTCATAAATTTATTTTGTAATTTTTTTTTTCAGATATAGAAATGAGGGTTGGATTTCTTGGCAGGCTAAGCGACATGCCTCTCAACGGCCATATGCTGCAACAGCAACAGGCTAATGCTTTAGGAGGAGACATGCATCGTCCAGGTATTAAAAACTCCAGAAAACATGATTTCCCATTTTTCATGTTTGAAATTTTCCAGAACCTCCTGCTTCGCAGCAAAACCAATTTGCATGGCATTCTTCTGGTGAAATTCACATGTCTGTTGGTCAAGGCAGTGTCCCCATGGATACGCGAAATCATGCGAAGGACAATGAAGACGTTGAAGTTATGTCAAGTGACTCAAGCAGTAGCTCTTCGAGCGATTCTCAGTGAAGTTTTAACTTTGGGCATCGAATATGCATTGTGTAAATATGACTGTCAATAAATAAGTTTTTATTAATATTTTACTCTGTGTTCCTCATTAATTAAGCTCTTCATTGTTACAACATATTTAATAGCAAACTTTAGATATGGCCAGGGGACGGGGGAAAAAATGAAATGCCAAAACAGACAAAATCAGCAAGGATATGCAGATCAAGATAGTTGATAGAAAATTACATAGGAGTCCGCCAGCATCTTTACGACCTGCCTCCTGCACACCGCGACCAGTATTAATCCATTGTGCATTTCTTATCTAGAGCTCCTCATTAGGCTTAAGGCTTTTTACCAGACCCACAAAGCTTTTTCAAGGAGTCATGTGTGTCCTTCAGGCCCTGGCTTTTCCTCTCCCAGGATTTGGAATCAGCCTACATAGGCTTTGCACCAACAGGGACGTTCCGCTGTTTCTTCTTCTAGACAATATCTGCACAAACTTGTTTCTGCTCCTCCAAGTCTATGCATATGCCTCCGGAGCCGGCAGTGTCCAGTTAGTAGTCCAACTATTATTCTAGTCCTAGTGCATCCTAGGTTAAGTAGTTCTGCTATTAGTTTCTGTGATGGTCCTTTGATAAACTTTTTTACGTGCCTCTGTCCTGGGCTGCTTAGGGGGAAGAATTATTGATCTATTATCTAATAGATCCACCATTTTGGCAGTTTGGTAAACCACATAAGGGTTCAGGGTCCTCATTTTCCTTGGCCAATTTGTCGGTTTCGTTGTTGCCTCTTTGTCCTGGTACCCAGACAAGGGTAATTTTTCCCCCCAATGTCTGATGGCTGTGATGCAGTCCCAAACGACTGGACCACTGATGCAGCAATTGCCTTCAGTGCTGCCTGGCTGTCCGATTAGATGGTTATTCCTCTATTGACAATACCCAGCCTTTTAATCTCCCTGGTACAGTGTTCAATAGCCTCAGTTTCCGCTTGAAAGGTGGTGGCATATTGTCCTAGTCCTTTGTAATAAACCCAATGTGGTTGGCATTAACTGGGATTCCTTTCGCCCAGTTTGCTCCAAAGGTATTTTAATTAGAAATTTTTTCTTCAAACTGAATTAAGGGAGAATCAACAGGCATCCCCAGAGTTCTGTCTAGCTGAAGCTCCTCATGAAGCTTTAGTCGCTACTTGATATGTGAGCTATTGAATCCTGTCCCTGCATTAGCCTATGAATTGTGGCTCTGGCCTCTCCCTGGAAGATGTGTAGTGGTGGTAGCTGTGGGGGGGGGGTTCATTAACATAGTGACTATCAAATTTAAAGGATCATCACTGCGCACAACACAGGAGGGTAGAGTCACTAATGTTTTTGATCATTTCTGGTCTGCTGATTCTTGTTGTATGTGCTGTATTGCGCATTTTAAGACTGCTTGAAATTTAACATAGTGTACTAGTTTTCACTAGTTTTCGTGGTCCGCTTGACCAATTAATATCTTTCAATTAATTAAGGTTTTTAGTGAAAAATGGCAAAAAGGAGGAAAATTTAAAAAAAAAAGTGGGGTTGAGATGGGAAGTTGGTGTCCGGGTGGATTGAAGTCACGATAGCTCAGGTGGTAGATCAGTGGCGTATCTAGACGAAGGTCGTGGATTCAAATCCCGCTCGTGACAATGACTTTTTTATCTCAACTAAAAACCTTAATTAATTGAAAAATAGTACTAGATATACACTAGGTGGTATGTACACTCTGACGGATTATTTGTTTATGCCTATATCTAAAATTTGCTATTATCAGACTGGGTCATCATGGAAGAGAGGCTGTTGAAGATGGGCATTCCAAAATAAATGCCATGTAGGACCTGGAATTTTTTTTCTCCAATCCAAATTGATAAATGTACGAAAGTTGGATACATTTATGCTTACGTGTAAATAAGAAAGAACTGGGCATCGGTGGCCATAATTGTTAAGATGTTGACATGGCGCTCACTATAAGGTAAAGGTCTTGGGTTCGAACCCAGCAGCCCTGAATTACATCCAAATGTGTTTTTTCAAAAAACAATGGCACCTTGAGGGTTGATATGACCTATGCTGTCCCATTAAAAAAATAAGTGAATCTCAAAAGCTATTTACCAGTAAATAAGTTTTTTTTTGCACAAACAACTTCCCACTGTGATCACTTCAACCAGTGCCCAGTTAATCCTGCTCTTGGTTTGAGACATATTGCCAATTTTTTTGGACAGATGAAAATGAGACCTTCACCAAAGAGAGTTTGGATAGGTATGATTTTTTTATATTTAAAAGTTTTTTGTATGGTTCAAATGAAACCATGCAGTCCATAAATGAAAGTCCTGATCATGAAGGATTTCACTGAGGATATTTTTGCGGGAAAAAAGGGAAATTTGTGTCGAACTGCGTTGCAAGAGCTGGTCGGCCTGAGCCCAGCTGAGGAAAGTGAAACAGTCGTCTCTCCGACAGCTGATGAGTTCCAGTCTCAGTCGGTTCAGGCAAGGGTCGAAGGAAGAAAGTTCCTCGCCGTTATTTTAATGTTTCATTCGCAGTAGTTTTCGTTTGACGAGCCAAGGCTCTCGTCCTCAGAAGAAAGCAGTCGACTCGCTATTATGGGAAGAAGGAAAGAAGGAGTCAGCGTTTTCCGCGACATCGTCAGACAGCAGTACGACGACTCGACCAGGTTCAGGCTTTATAAAAGTGTCAAAGGTAAATTGACCTGACTTTTCACTTTGTCCTTTTTTTTCTCTAAAATGTCTATTCGTGCCTTTTTGCCCCTCGCTAATTCTGGACGTCGGACAGACCTTGACACTCATTCTATTTACTCTGCCCAGAAATAGAAACGATATTTCAAAATAACCAAATTACTGATGCAATGACCTCTTCTTGCCCTAGACGGGGTTCATCCATAACCAACGGTGATAAATAAACAACTTTGGAGAAAAATCAATAAAAGCCACGTGCGTTACAAAATTCTATTTTTGCATCTCCTCGTGCTGCTCTTTTTATAACACAGCAAATAAAATCAAAGAAGGTGCAATAATATTTTCCAACCAATAAACCACTAGAAACACATATTGACTAATAGATTTTACCCCAAATCAAATTGAAAAAAAAAAAAAAACTTCAAATAGTTAAGAAAAGATTAAAGTTAAGCATCCTCATGTCTAAGGTAACTTTAATTACTTTAAAGATGGCTACAAGTGATATGCAACAATTTACCAGTTATATCCGTCGTTAAACACTAACTTAAAGCATTTATCTGTAAAATCAATAATCATAGACATAAATAAGTTAAAAGTTATAAGCATCATAGTCACATAATCTCTAGAGGAACCTCTCTACTAAGATACTAACTGTTGATTTTGACAATTATTTAGTATTTCATCTTCTACACAGGCTTTTATCCTTCAAAAGTAATGATTATAAGGTACGATGCTTATCAAAATCAATTGAAAATGATGAAAATGATTTAGCGATGGTGCTATTTGTTGATCTTGACAATTATTTAGTATTTCATCTTCTAAACAGGGTTTTATCCTTCAAAATAATAATTATAAGGTACGGTGCTTACACAAATCAATTGAAAATTATGAAAATGATTTAGCGATGATGCTGTTTGTTGATCTTGACAATTATTTAGTACTTCATCTTCTAAACAGGGTTTTATCCTTCAAAATAATAATTATAAGGTACGGTGCTTACACAAATTAGTTGAAAACAGTTTATTGTTATAAGCATCCTCATGTCTAAGGAGAATTTAAAGATGGCTACAAGTGATATACAATAATTTACCAGATATTTCCTTCGTTAAACATTATCTTAAAACATTATCTGTAAAATCAATAATCATAAACGCAAATAAGTTAAAAAGTTATAAAGTATAAGCATCATAATCATATAATCTCTAGAGAAACATCTCCACTAAGATACTAACTGTTGATCTTGACAATTATCTAAACAGGCTTTTATCCTTCCAAAGTAATGATTATAAGGTATGGTGCTTACCAAAATCAATTGAAAATTGTTTATTGTTATAAACATCCTCATGTCTAAAGAAACTTTAAGGATGGCTAAAAGTGATTTACAATAATTTACCAGATATTTCCTTTTTTAAACATTATCTGTAAAATCAATAATCATAAACTTAAATAAGTTAAAAAGTTATAAGCATCATATTCATATAAATAAATAAACATCATATTCATATAATCTCTAGAGGAACATCTCTATGATGATGCTATTTGTTGATCTTGACAATTATTTAGTATTTTATCTTTTAAACAGGGTTTTATCCTTCAAAATAATAATTATAAGGTTCTTACACAAATCAGTTGAAAATAGTTTATCGTATGAGCATCCTCATGTCTAAGGAAACTTTAAGGATGGCTATAAGTGATATACAATAATTTACCAGATATTTCCTTCATTAAACGATAACTTAAAACATTATCTGTAAAGCAATAATCATAGACTTAAATAAGCTTCATAATCATCGCAAGTATGGTTTATTACTTACACAAATCACTGGAAAGAAACATCTCAAAATTATAAGCATCGTATGCATATAATCTCTAGAAGAACATCTCTACTAAATTACTGACTGTTGATTTTGACAATTACTAGTAGTTCATCTTCTAAACGTGGTGCTGAACTGCAAAATCAGGTACGCAGAACAAAGTCAGCCTCTGCTGGGTCCCAGGACACATGGCAGTAGAAGGCAACGAGAAAGCGGACGCCCTTGCAAGGCGAGGAGCTGCTACACCGCTGTCAGGACCTGAACCCTTCTGAGGCATATGAACCTACACTATTAATAAGTATCTCAGATGGAAGGACAAAAAGAAAATGAAGGAACAAAGGAATTCACTCATTGGAAACAGGCAATCCAAGAATCTCTTAACAAATTTCGTAAGAAAAGTAATTACAGAATGTTAAGGGAAGCAAGAACAAACTGCGAATCCTAATAGGATTCTTAACAGGACACTGCAAGCTAAATGGACACATAAAGAAGATTGGAATAATCCAAGATGGCACATGAAGATTCTGCAAAGAGGCAGAGGAGACACAGGAGACACCAACACATCTACTAACAAACTGCAGTGCTGCACTTGCCTGCAGGAGGAAGTGTTTTGGGATGTATAATGTGACCATAGAAGAGCTTCACCTGTTCACTGAAACCGGAATTTTTTGATGAAATAGAACTAACCGATGTGCTTCAGGCAGAGAACGTGGGATACAATAGCTTTTAAAGGGCGCAGTATATTACACCCCGAATATTACATCTACATCTACGTCTTCTAAACGAGCTTTTATCTTTCAAAGTAATAATTATAAGGTACGGTGCTTACACAAATTAGTATAAAATAATTTATCGTTATGAGCATCCTCATGTCTAAGGAAACTAAAGTTGGCTATGAGTGATATACAATAATTTACATTATCTGTCAAATCAATAATCATAGGCATAAATAAGCTTCTTAATCATCGCAAGAATGGTTTGTTACTTATACAAGTTATAGGTTTGTTACTTAAAGTTATAAGCATCATATTCGTATAATTTCTAGAGATACATCTCTACTTTGATACTAATTCAGTACCGGCACCGACAGATTTCTAGACCAGACATCCTTTGCCAGACTTTCCCAGTTGAAGTACGAGAGTTGATGCCTACCATGTACTTTGCTAAGGATTCTCTTTTGGCTTAGGACATGTACGCCAATTCATTGCTCTTTTCACTTTATACAAAATCATATTATTCTCTGCCGGGTGCCATAAGTATTATATTCGTATAATCTCTAGATAAAGATCTCTTCTGTGGTACCAACTGTTGATCTTGAAAATTATCTAATATTTCATCTTCTGACAAACAATACACAATGCAGTAACTGGAGCTGCAGCAATGACAGTTTGTGTTGTCATTCACAATTGGTGAGGACTCACACGGCACATGGCAAATACATATTCGTTGTTTCCACACGAACTGGGTGCTCTATTTGGTGAATGAAAAACTGTAAGAATTGTTACATCCACTTTTGGGTGCAAGCCTAGATACCAATACAGTACAATATACGAGTGACTTCAGACCTGGACGCAACTTCTAGGAATACACTATGGCGAAGCTGAAGGGAGGGCAGAGATGATACTTGGAATGGCTGGGCAACCGGCCAATTGCCCTGGGTCCTCCCGGCTGTACTCGTCTAGGAAGATCTTGTCATTTTAGCCAAGTCACTACTTTGCATCTTAGACTGACGTAGGTGTAGTGTGTGCCGTGTATCGTGATCTGGATGGTGCATCCACTTTGTTTACATAGCAAAACTGTATGTGATTTGGCACGTGCTTGGGTTGATTTAAGATGAAGGTGGCTCTGCCTACCTTGTCAGCACCGACTCCCTCAACTCAGTTACTTCTGTCCGTGACAGGTTTTCAATCGACCGTCTCAGTGTTTTTGTTCGAGAGATACAAAAAAACTGGAGCGTTTCGGCAAAACGGTAGTTGTTGTCCGGGTACATAGGCCTGGAGGGTAATGAAAAAGTAGACGATGCAGCCTAGGCTGGGAAGTCCCTACCTACGGGCTTAACTACTGGCTCTCTGATGCTAAGAATGCAATAAAAAACATTAAACGAAGGTGGCAGTGTCCATAGGCCAGGTGGACAGAGAAGCTCTCACGTATCAAGAGCACCATTGGATGGGTCTTGGAGGATCTGACTCTTAAAATAGTCATCCTCATCTGATTAAGAATAGGCCTTGAGAAATCGACATACGGACATGTACTTTTGGGCCAGAGTCCACGTACGTATCCAGCATGCAGAGAAAGGTTGCTGAATGCGTCCAACCTATTTGAAGGGTGCAATTCCTTGGCTACATACAGAGAGTGCGCAGGAATGCCACTGTTTAAGAATTGTGCTTGAGCATGACAGTGAGTATTTGGGTCCCCGATCCGATTCGTGGAGGAAATTGGGTTGTTCCATAGTTTATAGTAATAATAGTTGTGTATACCTAGCTTTATGAGAGTGAATGTATAAGCATGAATGTGCAATATGAGAGGATCGATGGTAGAATACCACGTGCTCCATTAACTCTCATTAGGTTAGCTGTATACTATGTGTAAAGGGTGATGGAGGAATATAGAGTACTCCACCACCCTCATTGAATGAATGGTACATAAATAGGAGTAAATTTACTTAAGAATTAACATAAGTACGAATGCGTTTGGAACGCATGTGTTGGGTGTTGAATTTACTTAGCTGTTGACAGCACCACCCCCCAGACCAACTGCGGTCTGACCCCAGATTGCCAACACTTGGTGATTCTTGAGTCTGCCAGCGGTTTACTGTAAACGCTAGAATTGCTGGTGTACTACGAGAAGCGAATTGGCACAACTCAGCAGATGTTTGTATGTACATGTGCAGATTTGAGTCTATGTAAATCCAAAAACTAGAGAAACCTCTCTACATATGATACTATCACCTCCGAGCTTCATTTGTAATTAATCCATGGTCAGTGGATTGTCTGAAAAAAATTGGTCAAATCGAAAAAAATAATGAATCTTCATTGGTTCAAAATCAGAATTTCTCAGCACTTTCCACACAACCTGAGTAACCAACAGGTACACTACAAAACCAGCAATGAAAAATTGTTTTTATCATAAAATCTAATTTAAAAAAAAATACCAGTTGAGGATTAAATTATTATTTATTTTGTAATTTCAGGTAGTAAGAAAAAGTTATAAGTATCATTTCGATTATTAACAGGCATTTGTATCATCTTGGAAAGTGATCATTTGGCAAAGTTAACATTTTGTGTATCAACACCTTTATCTTAGTATCTATTGTAGTAATTTAAAACAAATTTATGTTTATAAAATTCACTTTGTAGTCAATAGTTTGAATGTATTGTTAAAACAAATACAGTTTTGGATGTCAATGGCCACAACAGTTAGCGCATTGTGACTCATCAAGTAAGGGTCCTGGGTACAAATCTAAATAGTCCGAAATTAGAACATTTCCAAAACGCGAGAACCCCAGGACAGGGCTAACATATCCTTTTTAAAACTTAAAACTTTTAAAACGTTTGTAGAAACCCTTCAACCTGACGATGAGCTAAAGGGCTCGAAATCCGGATTGTTGCGAGACAACTTAATGTGAGTAGGAACCATCTTTTTTAAAAAGGATTGAACTCCACACTCGCCACATCATTTATAATTTCTAGGGCTAACATATTTAGTAAATTTTACCTACAATAACTGATTGCATTTTTCTACAATAACATCACCATAATTAAGCGCTTATTTACAGCAAGAATGATGAAGTTTGATACTTATCTCACATTATTATAGTAATAATAAAGAATAAAAAATACTTTGTCACGATTGATGGAGGTTTAATAATTGATTTTGTTTATACTTCAATTAATTAAAAATAGTTCTTTATGACAACAGTAATGAATTTATTAATTTCAAGAGGGAAAAACCCCTCTTGAATAAAATACTAATGAAGAGGGCATCGAGGCTTATGTTATTTAGCTTAAAATCCTAAAACAGAACAAAGTGGCTAATTACATTAAATTTATTGTCATGCAATTAAGTATACTCTTAGATTTTACCTATATTCGTATAATAATCAATTTATATTATTTTCATATTTATTTCAAATATTCATTTTCTTTCAAATATTTAATCTAAATTCTTTGAAATATTGATAAAGAAAATTATACGGAAAATATGTATATACTCATTTTTCACTGTGTCAAGATCAGCCTTGAAGATTTGATATGCCATTTTTGTTTTTAAAATTTTCAAAGATTTTTCTATTTTTATAATGACTACTAGTACTTTCTTTGACTAAACTTAAATGAAATATACAAATGATTTATTATTACTCGCCCCTTACGATCTTTATTTTCAATCTGTGCGCATGTAATTTTTTAATATTGTTATTTTGCTGTTGCTAGAAGAAGTGCATTAAATAATTAATTTTATTAAGCTTGGTCACAGTTTTCCTGTAATGTAAAGGTTGAACGTTGAAAATAATTATTGTTATCTAAAATAGCTTCTTCGCAGTTCAACAACATTGCCTTTGTGCCAAGATTGACTAAAGCATTTTGCATTTCTTCTTTTAAAGCTATAAATCGAGATTCAATTCAAATTTTTCATTCATATAATTTAAGAGGTAATTTTGTTATTTTGTAACGAAAAAATAATTGTATTTACCCCTAATCAATAAAATTGATAACGTTGTTGACCATTATGTAATTTAAAATTTGAACAGTATTTTTCTCACATAGAAATTATGAGAGAAAAAGCTACAATTAGAAAAGTAATAATGACTGCAATATAACATTTTTTAAACAAATACGAACAAAATAAATTGAATGTTTATTATTTCAGAAAAGTAATCAAATTGCAAATTTTTAGACAATGTTATCAAACCAGAAAAACAATAATATTTGTTAGGGTCGGTGGCCGCACTGGTTAAGACGTTTATCATTGTAAGGTAAAAATCCTTGGTTCGAATACAGGGTTTTTTTTTTTTCAAAAATACTGCCACCCCGGGGACGGATTGACCTGTGATGTCCCCCCCCCCAAAAAAAATATATATATGTTTATGTTGTAAATTTGGTTGCCAGGAAGTCAAGATTGGGTTCAAAGGCTCGGGTTTCTGAAATCACTGCCGATACATGCTGGTTGTGTCAACTGTATATGCTGGAACGATAAAGGGGACAAATTATTATCGGGGTCTGATGATCAGCATCTCATTGTAACAAACCCCTACAATTACGAAGTATGCCAAATCAATTTGTAGATTTAACTTTATGATGGTTTTGATTTTTTATGCTTTTTCAGATTGTTAGCAACTACAAGAGTAGTCACAGGGCTAACATATTTAGTGCAAAATTTTTACCTTTCACTTGTGATACTGGGATTGTTTCATGTTCTGGAGATGGCATGATTCTGTATTCAGGTAGGGGGAAAAAACTTGTCTGAGTTTTCAATTTTATTCTAATTATTTTTATTTTAATATAGATTTGAGTCGGATTGAGGAAACACATAATAATATATTTAACTGTCACATCGGCACCACTTATGAAATAGCTACAATACCCGATGACCCCAATTCGTTTCTTAGCTGTGGCGAAGACTGCACTGTCCGTTGTTTTGATCTTAGAACTAAAGAGAAATGTAATAAAACAAGGTGTACTGATGTAAGAAATTTTTATATTTTACATTTCAAAATTTTTAAATTCTAATTATTATTGGTTTTTTTGAAGGATGTGATAATTTCTTGCCAAAGAGCTGTTACAGCCGTCGTTGTAAATAGTATAAATCCTTATCAGCTTGCGATCGGTTGTTCAGATAGTTCAGTAAGAATTTATGATAGAAGGATGCTTGCTATGTACTCAGGTAATTAATATTCTTAAAGTGTATGAACTGAGTGTAATCGAACTTTTTAATAGGATATTCTGCGACACCTTTTGTGTCATATATTGCACCGGGTATGGAAGGACGATCCTACCGCATAACTTCTTTAAGTTTCTCGCCGAATGGTTCTGATATTTTAGTTAGTTATTCATCAGAGCATCTGTATCTTTTTGGTATTAATGTAAGTATCAATTATTCCGTCCTGGAAGAATAAACTGAATAAGTTTATTGTATTTCAGAATAGCAAAGTTACCACACTCAGTCCAGAAGAATCGTTAGAAGATATGTCAGAAACTTGTCCAGAGAACGGTTCATCAGATACAAACTCCTCACGAGTCGTAACGGTCAGACGATTGAGATTAAGAGGTGACTGGTCAGACACTGGACCAGATGCTCGACCCCAAAATGAATGTTTAACAGGTATACCAAATAATTACACAAATATTTATAAAACGAATTTTAAAAAATTAATAATTTAGGCGGAGCCCAAGCCAGGCCAACTCTCCATGGAACTCTGATGCAGAGGATGACAGATGTCTTGTCAAGAATGTTAAATGACCCAGCTACTAGAGCAGCATTGAGTCATGGAGGGGAAGATTCGCTACCAGAAACGGTAGATCATCATTCTTCATCACAAAGTGAGCCATCACAAGGTATAAACTATTATACCAGAAATTAATATAGCGTTTATATATAATTTTGAAAGTATATTTTTCAGGTGAAAATCCAGAAAATGTTCCGTCCGCCCCTCCAGTGGAAGATGTCCAGCCATCTCTTCCATCAGAATTGTCTCGTAATCAAGACAACCCCTGTAGCAGTAATTCACTTGATGTCGATTCAATTAATGGGCCAAGTACAAGTGCTCAAAAAGAAAACGATCCGTTAGATCTACCTCTTCCATCTTTTAGTTCTACCTACTCTTCATTTGTTAAGCCACCTACTGAAGAGCCCCCCTCTCTGGAAACACCATTACACGAAGAGGTACTCGATTTTCTTCAAATTTTGGCATTATTGTCATGTTTTCTTATCATTAGCCCCTTGAGCAAACTGACGAGACGAAGATGCAAGAAGATTCTCCACATCCTTCTACCTCAACCGGCGCCCCTTCGTCTGATCTCAATGAATTATCATCAATGTGTCATGGGTTTGTTGAAAAGTATGTGTTTATTATTTCACTCTTTGGACCATTTTGTTTATACTTGTATTTTAATTTGTTTTTGTTTTAGGCATGGAAAGGAACCAATGTTGAATTTAACTTATTCAGATGTCGGTTCTACTGCATCATGTATATCGGTTTTTGTCCGAGATGAAGTCCCAGGAAATTCTGCGAGTGATTCTTCTAGTCAAGATACATTGTTACAAGGTATAACCCTTACCAAAAAAAGTTTTATTTTAAAAATAATCACATGGAATCTTTTAGATACTTCTCAAAACAATGATTCTCACGAATGCCATTGCCCCCACGAGCCGGTTGCTTCCCCTGAAGCAATGGAAAGTAAGTAGAACCATTTCATCTTCATTTAATAAAGTAATCAAGGAAATTCAAATCTTCACGTTACAGCTCGATCTTCTGAAGTTGATGATATAACAGAAGACGATTCGGACGACGATCTCACCCCAGTAATGCGAACCGAATGGTAATGCATTTCTTTTTTTTCTTTTTTCTTTTTTCATAACAATAGAAATATATTAACATCCAATTTTTCCCCCAGCCGTCTGGTCCATCCTATTGAAAAACACATGGATGAAGCGATCAAAAACGCGAGAGGAGAAATGGGTTCTAATGACGATTCGGTCAAAACAAGACGGTCTTTCTTTAAACAAAAGTATATAGGTCATAGAAATGCAAGGTATGGCATTAAAATATTTTATAAAAGTATAATTTTGAAAAGCATGAAGTTAATTAGAAGTCAATTAGTTAAAAGGACTCCAGTGATTTTAGAACCAGTAGCGAATAGAAATGTCGTTAAATTTACATTCAAATTTTTATAAGTCATTTCATCACTGATGGGAGTTTTTACCTGATCTTAACTTCAATATTTATGTTTACCTCAAATACATTAAGGTACAAAAACCTCACTGCAGCTTTTACAAGATTTAAATGAGCTGGTGAGAGCAAATTTTCTTCCATTTAGTCAATAAATTAATTTTATATGTAGAATACATAACAATGTATTTTGTAAATAAGCATGTTTTTACATTGTGTTACATGTGTTATTGAGACATATTACATAATCTATGTATAGAAATGGTGAATGATGGAGTGAGTGCAGTGTTCAATCCTTTTTTTAAAAAGATAGTTCTTACTCACATTAAGTTATTTTCCAACAATGAGCTTTTCATTGGAACGTTGACGGGGTATTGGCAGGTTCACTATTTCAATTCATGTCGAGAGATGTGGTTGTAGAAATCCTTCAACCTGATGATGAGCTAAGGGCTCGAAATCTGGATCGTTGTTTTCTGACGAATGTGAGTAAGAACTATCTTTTTTTTTAAAAAAGGATCTATTTATGTTTAGCGGTCATAATTGACCACATTAATTATTTAAATTAATTCTTCTTTTAATGTATGGTTTTGGTCGAGATGAAAAAGTTAGTGTGATGAGCAGGATTCGAACCCACAATCTTTGGCTAAATACACCGCTGCTCTAACCATGAGCCATCATGACTTCGCTCCACAGACACAACTCCTCATCTCAACCTACAACCTTTTGCTTTTCTCTCATGGCACTAACTTTTTCATCTCATCCAAAACTTAAGATATAAAGAATAATTAATTGAAATATTACATAATTTTAAGTCAGCATTGATTTGTATAAAGTTAGTTTTTTTTTTATTGTTTGAACCCTCTCAACTGTAACATTTCCACTGAGCAATTTTTTTAATGTTTTCTTGGGTCCTAGTGAACAGATTTTATTCCCTGTCAACAATTTTTATAAGCAGCATCTAAGAAAAAGCTTGGGTCATTTCTGAACCATAATGTCGGTAAAGGTAAATTAACATTTATTTTTCACTTTTATAAAAGGTGATTCCAATCTATCGGCTGAACTTTTTACAAAAGTGAATCTACATACAAACCACACTTTCATTTCCATAAATAAACATTTGGATAGCAAAATTTGACATTTCTTTCATTTTTGTTTATGTATAGTCGAACTTCCTCAAACAGGCACTTCTAATATCCAACCGGACAATTTTATTTTCCCAAGCATTCCATTTATTTTACCAAGAAAAGCATATATTATAACTATTCAAATATCGATTAACGGTCACTAATCTCTACACATATATAATAACTTGGCACTTATAGATTTTTTGAGGGACGTCAGTGACGAGATAGCTTAAGGTGTTGACACAGTGTTCATTCCTGTAAGGTAAAGATCCCGGGTTAAAATCTAGCATTCAAAACCAACATACTTAGATTAGATTATATAGGAGCCAGCCTCTTTACGATCCGTGCACTGCGACCAGTATTGGTCTATTGGTATCTCCATTTTTTTTCTTATCTAGAGCTCCTCATTAAGCTTAAGACATTTTTTTTTACCAGACCTCAAAGCTTTTTCGAGGGCTCCCGTGTGTATCCTTCAAGTCTGGTTTTCCTCTCCCAGGATCAGGAATCTCAGCCTCCATAGGCCTCCGCACCAAGAAAGGACGGGTTTCACTGTTTTTTCTCCTTCTTGGCAATATTTGCACAAGCTTGTTTCTGCCACTCCGAGTCTTTATATACGCTTCCATTGCCCAGTTAGCAGTACATCCAACATACTTGCAAATGGGCTTTTTTCCCCAAAAAACACCGACACTCCGAGGGTTGATAGAATCTCTGCTGTTGCGACCCTCATGAAAATAATAATTTGACAAGCAGAGAGAAAAAAGAAAAAAAAAACAGGATTGCACAGATAGATGATACTTGCAAACAGTAATGGTTTTCGAGAATTCTCATACCAAACACAACTCACATGGCATTTGTTCATTCATGCTCGTGGCTCGCCTCATCACTCGCTACCTTCGCGAGAGGTATTAGAACGTTCATTCCCCACAACACACATGGCCATTTACACACTCACTGACTGTTCAGTTCACCGAGGCAAGGCGAATGGACAACGTGGAAGTTTTAACAGCAACCGGTGTGCATTTGTTAAAAGTGGATAGCTATTTACAACTAATTGGAGAAAAAGTAAAAAAAAAAAAAAAAAAAGACATTGCCGAAGACCATAGTGGATGATAGCATGTTATCGCAAGAACCAAGTATGGAAAACATGATTATAGAAATGCTCTATGAGTACTGTAGAGAAGTTGCAAATCACCAATTGATTTTGACTACATATTGTGCAAAATTGAACCACTAAACAATAAAATAAAAACTAAATGGAGAACGCCAATACCAGCTGAAGTCTGCCTACCGTAGCTCTAAGATTTTTTTTTTTACGAGGGTTCGCAACAGCAGAGGTTACGTCAACCCTCGGGGTGACGGTGTTTTTGGAAAAAAAACCATTTGTAAATATGTTGGGTTCGAATCCAGCAGCCCTGCATTCGAACCCGGGACCTTTACCTTACAGTGTCAACGCCTAAACCGTTGCGGCCACCGACGCCCCCTTTTAAGGTTTTTAACTACTGGTGATAGATACTGTCATATCCACATCGGTCTTCCTTCCTTTTCCAACCTTCCCATGATGGTTTATTCTGGCATCTATCTCTAGTTAAGGAATGCCCCAGTTGGGTACCAAATTCATGGTATTGTAGGGAAGGAGTCAACACCCAAAGCCCCCCCCCAAAAAAAAAGGGGGGGAAAGGAAAGAACTGGAAGCACAGATATGGTTCCCGTGTTCAAACCTCAGCTGGCTTCTTTCAGATATAGTCGCGCTTCCACCCAAGGTTACACTACGAAATTAACATAATAAAGCGCTTCCTGCTTCTACAGAAATTAATTTTCATTAACACAAATAATCTTCTATATTTAGGGTTTAAACTGTGATTTAAAACAAAGTAACACCTTTTCTTTTTAGTGCTAATTTTACATTTTTTTTTTTTTTAATTCAAATAATAATACAACGAAAACATACACTTAATCACTAAAGTTCCGAATTATCAGGTCTATGATAAAGAAATAAAGAAAAAATGAACCGACGAGATCTCTTTTCCACTAGTTCCATTTTAGGCTGTACCATGTTCACTGTGATCAGCAACTCTTCAGGAGTAACCTTTTGCACCCGTAGATCATACACTACAGGGCACACAAACTATGTTTTTTCCATTTTCTTCATCTACCTGTGATCGCATCTCACGGACTTATCTCTCACTTTCTTTTTTTGAATCTCGAACCCAGTGCCCTCTCCAGGTCAGCATCTTGTAGGTCGTGAAAACTTTTCACCTCGGTTCAATTCAACTGCCGAGTTCTGAACTTAATTTTTTTCCAAAAGGTGCCTCACTTGCTTACCGCCTAGTACGGCAATATCTCCTTATAGTCCATATTCATTGTTTTCCTTTTTATCTTGAAAAAGATGGAATTTGTAAAGGTAGATATGAAAGTTGATAGTGGGTATGAGTCTGCGTTGTCGGTAGACATTATCAGCATCTTACTGACTCCACAGTTTGAAACCCTCAAAATCCCTAGAAAACTTTATAGTTTAATTTTTTATATATTTCTTCATCCCATGTGGTCCTTGAGCTTTCATCATTCGTTCATCAATATTTTATAAAGTTCCTTTACTGACATTAGTGTTTGCCACATTTTAAAATTTTCAGCTGCCACATAAAGTTGAATAATTATTGTAATAATTAATAGAAATTTGCTAACAAACAATTGTAAATAAAAAAAATAAAAACTTAATTAGATCTGCGTGCACATGACCTAAAAATTTGTGAAAATTCAACGAATATGATACTACGTATAATTTTTATTTTTACAATAAATGTAATTATCGCTGTAGTCAATGAAAATTTAAAGAAATTGAGAAATTAGGGAAAGGAAGTGGGAGAAAAAAATTTAATAGGTCATGGGCGACTATAAATCTGGAGATTATAAATGTATGAAACTATTGGGTGTATGACTTTATTTAACAAAAAGGTAATTTTTAGTCGAAAACAAATTACATTCATTATTCCATTATACAGATATTTCAATAATTTTTTACAAATAATCACAATTTCATTATTTTATGTATTATTATGTATATATTATTTTTAACAAGAGTGTTTTGTGAGAGGTTTTTCACCCAGGATTTGGCTTGGCAACAGTGAACGTTTATTGGCGATGGCAGTTTTTATTTATGACACAGAACTGCAAGTTTTAATTACTGGTTTGAGAGTTCCATAGTTTCACTACTGTAACTGCATACTGACCTTAAAAAAGATTTACATTTATTTTGTTGGTTTTGTATGCAGTGCAGAATTGAAGCGCAAGAAAATGGCCAGTTACTAAAAGCATGAACCCTACCCCCAGGTTCTTTTGCAGGACTATGATCAAAGAAGCTACTTTTTGGGGCGACAATTACGTCATATCCGGCTCGGACTGTGGCCATGTATTTATGTGGGAGAAAGATACGGCCAAGCTCAAAATGCTACTCGAAGCAGATCAGCACGTTGTCAATTGTGTCCAGCCCCATCCATACTTGCCGATGTTGGCCACTTCTGGCATTGATTATGATGTGAAACTTTGGGCTCCAGTAAAAGAGGCGCCTTCTTTTGACTCAAACATGGCTGAAGAGGTTTGTCGATATTAACTTTTCCCCCCTGAGATTTCTACTATTTTTCTTTTTATCAGTTGATGAAGCGAAACGCTATAATGCTCGAAGAAACCAAGGACACTATAACTGTGCCGGCATCTTTTATGATTCGAATGCTGGCCTGCCTTAATCAGCTAAGGAGAGGTTTGTCTGCACTATTTTCACAAATTCAGGCAAAAATTACATTATAAATATTTGTTTCAGGTGGTAGAGCGCGGCATCAGAGACATGAGCCAACCGCCAATAGTGATTAATTCATATCATTACAAAACAAAAAAGCAAACAAGAATAACTTTTTTTTCCAATAATGGTCGGGTTGTTTAAAGTATCATAGGAGAGGACTCTTGCTTTGTATTACTTTTTGGAATATAATTTTCTCCTGTTTTATATCTCAATGCTAAATAAATAGGGAACCGGAGTAAAGTATAATGCCAAAAAAAGCTACCTTTCCTGCGATATTTTTGTATGTAAAAAAGAAAAATTTTATTTATTGAACAATTGCTATTATGGAATTTCTTGTAGATATAATATTGACACAAACAAAATTAAGTAAAAACACAAAAATCTTGTACAAATATGATACAATATTGTATATAATAAATCCCCTTTTTTAAAAGCTCATTATTTTTGTTTTATAATTCTCACTGTATCGCTCACCATTGTGGAGCGTCAAAATGCTTCTTGTAAGCTCAACATGTTACTGGATAAAAATGATGAATAGGTAGATTTAATGTAAAAGTTTGATACGTTTGGAAGCGTTAAATATAATTTATTTACAGGACATAAAAACAAAAATATCAATAATTGATTGTGTTTTATCTTTTTCTTTCATATTTCCATTTGTAAATCGGTGCTTCATCTTTAGTTCCTTGTTTTACTAGTTTTGGCTTTTCATAGCTCGGCTTCTTCAAAGCTCTCTGAACCTCCATCTTTTCTTGAATTATCGACAGTTGCTTATGCCTGTCGATTCGCCTCGCGAGCTTATTGTACTCTATCATTTTCAATTTGTGCAACCTTTCAATTGCTTTTTCATCTATTTTATGCAGTGGCATTTTTGCGATTTGTTCTCGTTGGCGCTCAGAGGACGATTCGTGACTTTCATCGACGGGCAGTTCGTTACCATCAGCGTCAAACTTCACGTGTCGCCTAGAGGACATGTTGCTCGCGATGTCGACCAGGTGCAAACCGGCTTGTAATCTGTCAATTTTCTTCCGTTCTATCGTCCTCTTCATATTGACATAGTTGATACTCTTGTTTTCCATGAGTAACATCTGCTGTTTGGTATCCTCGCTCTCGGGCGCTTTCTTCTCCACGTGCTTTCCATCTTTTAGCTTCGAGTTGATCATATGGTAGTAAAATTCATCAGGATTCCTGTCCAAAGCGTGTCTTTTCAATTTTTTGAGGACTTTTTCTTTTTGATGAAAGTCCTTGGCTCGTCTTATATAATCTTTTTTCTTTTCGAGCAATCCTAAATGGGCCCGACTCTCAGGCTGGTGACGCTCTCTATGAATCTTTTGATTCGCTTTTGAAGCTTTCTTCCAAGAAGACATCCTAAAAATTAATTAAATTTTAGCGCAATGTTACTCAACCTGTAGAGACAACTATACATAAAAAGATCATAAGACAAATTACATAGATTCAACATTGAACAGAACATGTTGGAATTGCTACTAAAAGTCAAACAAACATAAATTTAGTCTGAACAATTTAACATTTTAAACAGTTATTGTATTTCATCCAAGATCTTGTAGGCCCGTTTGGCAAGACTGGAAAACGAGCGGTAAAAGAAGGTTACTGGCAGTTTTTTTTTAGTTCTGACGATGACGACCGTTTGTGATCACCTTTTAACACTTTCTTATGTACTTGTATATGAATAACCGTGCGCAGTTCATCTTTTTGTAAATAAAAAAGTAAGTTTTGTTTTATATCAAATATTTAAGATGATTTCTCATATAGGACCGTTAAAATTTCACAATTTAATTCTTTACAATTAACTGATAATTACTTATGTATATGTACTTACTTTGGTGGTTGTTTTGAAATAGGTCTAAAGCGTCTTTATGGTCAAACAAGATCATTAGCAACTTTCATAAGATTAAAAAAACAAATAATCGGTCGATACTCAATATACTCGGGAGAATGTACATAACCACGTGGTAACCTTAAACCCAGTGATCAGTGATGAACCTTACGGTTCGTCACTACGGTACTTCAGCCCTCTAGCGCTAGGACCGCACTGAAGTCCTGAAGTTTCAAAAAACCAATTTCAAATAATTTGTTTACTTAATTATTCCCCATTTTAATGTGTGGGCCTGAAATATCTTAATAATAATTAGACCCATTAATAATGTTTATTAATGTGGGTATTTAAAAAATAAAACAAATATTACAAAGAAAATATTTCTTGCTTGGATACACTAATTTGTAGCAGAATTGCAATATAAAATTAATTACTCTCTTATATGGAACTTTTATAACCAGTTGTTTTTATTTAAAATATTGAATATATTTGGGACTATTTTTTTAATAATTTTATTTAATATATATTTTTTGTATGAGGGTTCACTACAGCAAAGGTCATATCAACCCTTGAGATGCTGGTGTTTAAAAAAAAAATGTCAGTATGTCGGTTTCGAATGCAGGTCCGCTGGTTTCGAACCCAGTACCTTTACCTTACAGTGATAATCACTGTTTCAGTGTAGCGGCCACTGATGCCCCTACAGGAACAGGAGTTGCAATATAAAATAAATTATTCTCTTATATGGAACTTTTACAACCAGTTGTTTTTATTTAAAATATATTTGGGAACATTTTATTTTATGTATATATTTTTTTATGAGGATTCACAACGTGAGGTCATATCAACTCTCGAGATGCCGGTGTTTTTGAAAAAAAAAGTTTGTCAGTATGTCGGGTTCGAATGCAGGGCCGCCGGATTCGAACCCGGGACCTTTACCTTACAGTGATAAGTGCTGTGTCTATGTAGAGGCCACTGACGCCCCTATAGGAACATTAAAACAAACATTAAGGAACTATTAACTAATATTAGATATTATTCAAGAAGAAGAAAGAACACTATAAGTTGTTACTTAGGAGGAAATGCAGTAGTCTCAAAATTAGTTCAATATTTTAAATAAAATTCATTTAATAAACATTAGTTATATTTTATTAGGTTTCGTGGTCTGTTTGACCAAATAAATTCTTTTCAATTAATTAGTTATATTGACATGACTTTCTATAAATTTTATATTGTTGTATATTCTCTTAAAGCAGTACACTTCAAATATGACAACAAAAAATTCTTGCTTGGTTACTAATCTGTAGCAGAGTTGCAATATAAAATAAATTACTCTCTTANTATAATATCCTATATCTATCCTATAATAAACATTAGTTATATTGACATAACTTTCTATAAATTTTATATTGGTGTGTATTCTCTTATAGCAGTACAGACTCCATCTAAAAAAAGACAAATCAAATTTCCCTAACAAGTGTTACAAAATGATCAATAATTGTTTGGAAGTGGCGAGGATAATGATGAACTCAACTACCTTTTTTTTATTTTTTTTATTTATCTGCAATGCATTTCCTTGCTTCATGCATCTTCCTGGCTCCCCTCTTCATGCCTTTGGGGATTTTATAAACAACTCTATAAAAAGGAAAGAAAGTATAATCAATTTTTGGTTTTTGTTAAAGATTGAAAATTAAATTTGATTCTCTAGACTGAGGGCTCAATGCAAGTTTCTCTTAAAAACTTGTTATAAGACCTACTTGAACTACATTGAATCCTTTGTAGGCACTGTAGACAGTGGTTGTGTTCAATGCTTGAAACTATATGAAGAAAAAAAAAGAAAAAAAAAATCATTTCCAATTTCTTTTCCATACTTACAATCTAAACTAAAGCATAAAGGGGCCTAACTTGGAGCTTCATATTACCCTCGGCCTTACCACCACCATATTTTTTTTAAGTTGAACTGATCCCCATACAAACTTGTACACATGAAAGAAAAAAATATATAAAAAAATATTTCAAAGGTGTGACAGTAATCATTCTTTCAGAAAGTCAGACAGCTTTAAAGGCTCTCCAAGGTTTGGGGGATCAATTCAAAACTAGTCTGTTACTGACTGAATATCCTTAAAAAATTGCTAAAAAAGGAGTCTGGAAACAACTCATAGGCCCAAATCTATATTGTGGAATAAATTGCAGCCACATTAAAAGAGAACTAGAATCTTTGGTAACTAAAAAACACAAAAAAATAAGCCACATAAGCCAGGCATGTGACAAGGAAAAAGACTAGCAAAACCAACCCAATGGGAGAAAGATAAATTCCATTGTAACAGAAAGGAACTAAAAAGTAATTGTAATATTTACAGGATATGTTAGCTTAGAGAGTAAGGATCGACCTTTTTATGATCTCCTTTCTGTGACCAATATTGGGCTATTGTACATTTCCATTGTTGTCTAGAGCGCTTCATTAAGCAGAAGGCATTTTAACAAATCTCAAAGCTTTTTCAAAGATCCCTGTGTGTATCCTTCAGGCTTGGGCATTTTGTTTTCTTAGGAGTAGGAAACTTAGCCTACATAAAGCCTTCACCAAAAGAGTTTCGGTGTCTTTTCTTCACCTTTCTGCACAGGCTTGGTTCTACTACTCAGTGTTGATTCATTTGTTTTCAGTCTGCAAGGTGCAGTTAGCAGTCCAAACTATTATTCTAGTCCTAACACGTCTTATATTTTGTAGTTCCGCTGTTAGTTTCTGTGATGGTCCTTTGGTGAATTTTTTCGCATTCCTCTGTCATATATACAGTCCCATTGAGTAAAGAATTTATTGTTAATTGATTATCTGATGGGTGTATGTCACTAAAGGGTTCAGATCAATTTATCGGCCTCCTCGTTTGCCTTCTGCCCTGGTACCCACACAAGGGCAAATTTGTCGTTTTCCTCAATGTCTGACCAATGGTTACTTTTCTGTTAACCTAGCCTTTTAATATCCTTAGCACAACGTTCAAGCTTTAGTTTCAGTTTGAAAGACAGTGGCTAAGTGCCTAAGGTTTCATGCTTCAGTTAAATACTACCTTTAAAAAATGGAACTAGCAACAGATGACCAATCTCAAGTATGTCAAGAAGTGAGAAATGGTAAACTCTATTGAAATATTTTATTTGGTAAAGTCCTCAGCTTTATAGTTTACTCCATTTATTTTTTTCCTTTCATGGTGTGCTATTAAAATGATTTAGATTCTACTTGGCTGATAGATTCCAGGTTGTAAAATGAATAAAAAATTTCCAGAAATGATGAATGGTGGAGTGAGTGCGGTGTTCAATCATTTTAAAAAGATAGTTCCTACCACAGTAAGTTGTTTTCCAACGATCCGCATTTCGTGTTTTTAGTAGTAGTGACTTTTGCAATTCATGTCGAGAGATGTGGTTGTAGAACTTCTTCAACCTGATGATGAGCTAAAAGCTTGAAATCCTGATCATTGGAAAATAACTTACTGTGAGTAGGAACTATCTTTTTAAAAGGATTAAAAAATTTCCTGTTGCCTCTGGAGTTCCTCAGAATCTTCTTGGTCCTATCATTTTAAAATTTATTAATGCTATCACCCTTCGTTTTTTTCCCCCAATATACTAAAAATGGTATCAGCTGACCCAAAAACTTGCTGCCGCGATCAAGCACAATATTGCCATATTGGCCGTTGGGTGGCTTTCCTACTCGTTCTCTGTATGAAGCCAAGGAAAGGACGTTTCAATTTCATGGAACACATTGTATAAATATTTCATAAATATATATTTTATTATTTTACATAACATCTCATAATGTTCAGATATAAGATTCAATTAGTTATTCATATCTGATATGAGATTAATACATTAAAAAAAAATCATAAATACCACAGAACATAAGGACGGACAAAATGTCAAAATGAAACAATGTATCCTGGATCTGTCTATTATGTAATAATAATAACATTGATAATGTTTTATATTTCATTGGGTTAAATTAACTTTAAGGGTGCCCTTGGTTAGAATGAAACACTCAAACACTTCAGACCTGCCTAATCCAGGATGTAAATTCAATAATAATGTGTAATATTTAGTCACCGTTAAGTACTGATTATTTAGAGACCATGAGATGCAGTCTGGGGTGATTTAGGTTTAAAAAAACATTTTCTTTATTGGCCAACATTTCGATTTTGATCAAAATCTTCTTCAGAACCTGGGATTTTTAAACATTGTTGAAATTATACAAATAGATATAAGATATGACTATGAATTTATACAAGGATGTATATAATATAGAAATTTTATGTTTAATCAAAATATTTGTCCTCACTCAAAGTGTGTTTTCTCTCAACGCGACACACAACAATCACACATCTACATAGAAAACCACACTTTGAGTGCTTGCAAATACTTTGATTAAACCTAAAATTTCTATATTGTGTACATCATTGTATAAATTCATAGTCATATGTGTTTGCATAATTTAAACAAGGTTTACAAATGCTCAGCCCTGAAGATGATCTCGATAAAGTTCGAAACATTGGCATGATAAAGAAAATGTTTTTCTAAACCTAAACCCCAGACTGCATCTCACGATCTCTAAATAATCATTCAATAATGATACGAAAAATATTTAGTTTCGAATTATCTATAATTACAGTAAAATGACTGAGGTAGTGACATTTTAAGCTCTAATAACAATTATATCTAAAAGAAAGACAATTTTATCTTTGAACCTTACGATCATAGACCACGAGTGTTTTACTTTTTTGTTTTGTTGCATCATGATAAAGTTTAAATTAAATAAATATCTACAATCACCCACTAAGCTTATGAAATCGGCTAATTTATATACACCTACTTTTCTAAAAAAAAAACATTATAAAAAAAATAATAGTATCACAATTTGTAATTAACAAATAGACAACTTATCGGGTACAAATACTTATTATGAAAAAATATTATTTATCTGTATTTACAGTTTTTAGTTATATACATTGTTTGACCAACAACACCGTAGTTTCATTTTGATGATTTCAATATTTCTACATTTCGAGTAGAGTGCCATTATCCAAATCAGCCAACCTATTACTTGACATAGGGCGTGTGATTATATCATCCATCATCTCAGTCATGTCTTCATATCTGAAAACAATTTTTCATATTATAAGTGGTACTTATATAAGAAAATTAAATAACATTTTTCATACTTATCGAAAGGGGAATGGCGATTAGATGAATGGGTTCTTAGCAACCTAGGCGAGGGAACCATCCTAAATTGGTTTCGAGATCGATATGTCAGAAGTAAATACAGAACGGCCAAAAATAAAAGGAGAATTCCTGAGGGTTTTTAAACAGTTAAAGTTAATAAGAATATAATATAATTTCTGTAACTCACCGGCCATAAGGGAAAGCCACACATTTTTCGGTTTTACAAAAAGAATGAATGCAAATAGCGAGTAGAGAATGGATTTTTTCCATAATCTAAACCAAAGAACTTTTTCCCAACACTGGAAACAAGGGTGAAGTTCATCTCTAATCAAACAAAACAATATTCCATAAATGAAAAAGTTATTAGACAAATGTGTGAAAATATTAACAAACACTTACACCAGACACATCTGAAGAAATAATGTAATTACCCATGTTATTTCAAAAAAGAAAACAACCATTGAGCATATACTGAAAAAAAATGAGTTGCTATTATTAAGATTTTTTCTTTTTATATATATCTCTTATTACTTACATATAAAATACTCCAATATTATGTTTGTGCAGGGCAATATCAATCCCAACTCCACAAAAAACTGGAAAATAAATTTATACAATTAAAAAAATTAGCAAAAATGATATAATGTGTAATGCATATATGCATTTTACATTATAAATTCAATGTACAAAATTATACGGTAAATAACGTATAAAAAAAAATCTGTCTTACAATTCATGCCCAACTACCCACCTGTTGGGTGTCACAGATGAGGGCTCAAATCATTTTACAATACTTGTTTCATATTGTTCTCTGATGTCCTAATCACTCAGCCACCGTAGTCCCCTATTTCAAGGGGATATTCTTTCAAAATTTGTTAACACAATTTTACAGCAATTGAGGAATTGAGAATTAATTGGACAATAAAAAGAAAGCATGACAATTTTCAACCAAGTTAAAATAACTAACAAATGAAACTATATCTGTCTTTTTAGAGAAAATATGAGACCTAGAATAAACATTTAACATAATTATTGATAAAACAACAAAATAGAAAGATAAAAAAAAATAAACAATGCTTTTATGGTACACAGATGGCTCAAATAATGGGAAATGGTACAGGAATGGGTTAAAACTATGAGAACCATATGGCGCTTGGCTTCAAGCCAAATTGCTAACCTTAGAAACATGTGCCCATGAAGTAAATAACAAACATCACAACAATAATAATAGCATCTGATAATGTATGATTGGAATGCTATAAGCAAAATTAGATTATTTACATGATTTTCCATAAATTGTATTTTGTTTCATATTCTCTATTTCACACTCGGTCTAAAATAAATTGAGAAATCAAATTTCCCTATGTGGTTCTCTAGAAAACTAATTTCTCTTATTAAATTTAAAAAAACTGCCCAAAAGTAAAAAAAAGATCAATAACTACAACGATTATATTTGTTTCATTTGTTTCTCTTAACCAAAAAAGATACTTAATCCTCAATTATGGATGTTGATTGTGTTCACAACGTTTGAAACTAAATGGATATCGTAAAAAAATCATATTCTCCTCTTCTTCACCATACTTGCAATATAAAATCTTTCCCCTACGAGGATGGGCATAAAGGTCCCTAATCTTGCAGGATTTTTTAAAAATAAAGTATGTTCTAAAAATCACTATTTTTTGTGACTAATTTCTATTCTTTATGACATGTAAAAGTTCTTTCAACCTTTTTCAAATTAGCTTTTCTTTATGTACCAAATTGGCATCTCAAAAATGTTAAATTATTATCATGAATTAACAAAAAAAATTAATTAAAATTTAAGTTGAGAGTAGTATGTCTTGAAGCAAGGTGTCACACACAAGGTCACCTGACTTCAGGCAGAAGTATTGCATAGTTGGTCTTCTTTTTTTTATTTTTTTTTTACTACATACTGCACACATATTGGCCACCAGATTTAGAAATATCTTCGTAATCTGAATCACTTTTGCAATCATTACCAGATCACCCATTCTAAAAATTAGGCAAAAATCTCAGGTTCGGCACAAAATAAATGGTACAAAATGATTACATTAAAACATTCCCTTAGTTGTTAGTAGAAAAAATTGCATTTGCTAATATCTACCTGTAGGTTGTGTTAAAAGAGGTGCATGTATAATTGTAAAGAACTACAACGATTATAGCTAAGATAAAAACAAAATTTAAGAAATAAAAAATTAGCCCGCGTTAACTCAGGATAAAAATTGAGAATTGCATTCTTTGAAAATGAATTATCTCATGATTGTAAGGCTGGGGATTAACATGACCCTTGGCTCCACCACAACTATCTTTCAAGTCAAACTGCTAGCCATAACAACCTATGCACATGAAACAAACAAAAAACATTTCAATGGTACAGCAATAATCATTCTTTCAGACAGTCAGCTAGATCTAAAGATTCTCCAAGCCTAGGAGATCAACCCGAAACTAGTCTGGAACTGCCTGAATACCCTAAAAAAATTAGGTTTTCAAATAACCTAATGCTGCATCCCAGGTCATATGGGAATATTAACGAGGCAACACATTGCAAAAAAAAAAAGCAGCAATTCATAGGACCAAATTTATGTTATGGAATAAACTGTAGCCACGTTACAAGAGAAGTGAAATCTTCGGCAACTAAAAAACACAATAAATATTGGGAACATATGCAAGCAGAGAGACTAGCAAAACAACCCAATGGAAGAAAGAGAAAAAAAGAAAGGATTAAAACCCGTAGATTAAAAACCATGATATGCTCCGGTAAAATACTACTTAAAAAAGAATTGAATTATTAACAAATGATTCACGTTGACTATCTCTATAGAAGATTGAAACAACATATTCTAGGCTACCCTGCACTAGCTAGGAAAAGGCTGTGGTGCCTTGGTAAAAAAAATCTTTCATGAACATTAGCAGAGATCAGATTATACAATTTAGTTCTTTATTCCATTTGAAAATTCTAACGATAAATCATGAATAGAAAAATTAGTCATTTGTGGTGAAAATATTAGATTTAATAGAAATTTAATTGCAAAACATTTTTATTATATCGCACAATTTTTATTTAAATTATAGCCAACAGCAGAAAGTAAATATAAAGGCAGTTTTTTTTTAGATTTTTGTTAAATGCTGTTGTGATTGCCATCAAACTTTAATTGATCATCACTAGAATGATAGAAATAGTAAAGGCAGGGCGAGTATGTAGATTCAGTTTTCGTCAACGATGGTTCTACTCACAGACTTTGTTGTTTACATGTTGGAAATTTGTTAATTTTTGTTGTCAACAAATTCTGCGAGTCGAACCATCACTAGAATAATTCAAATCTACACCGGATTTACAATTCTTGTGTGATACTAACTTCGTCTATTGAAAAGTATTGACTGTTTTTGACCTCGCGTAGAGCCTGATCAGTCGAAGAATGTGACATCAGCAAAATTCTTACTTGCATTTTATTACATAGATTTTATTTTGCTAATTCCATAGTCAAACATGTATTCAATGACTTGCTAAATTTGCTGCCTCGCTGTCAGTAGAAAGAGTAAAACATAAACAAACATGAAAACTTAATTGGTTTTTTATATTTAAATAAATATTAATTACTATAGTCGATTTAACTTTTAAAAGTAATTTAAAGGAAATAGGAGATTTTGAGACAAATCTATGTCACCGTTTTTTTTTACATCAAAATAAAAGTTACTATTTCACCTTTTTAGCCTATTTCTTCTAACTTGTGTTTATCGTGACTAAATTTTAAAATAAACAAGATCAAAGTATTACTAATCTTTTCAGGTTCCATCCCAAAAACCTGCTGACACAGATTAATCACTTGCAAATTATAAAAAGTATTCCTGTCGATTAAAACATGAAAAAACCCTAATGCAAACAACAAAAGTACTGCATTGACATATTAAAACACATTAAAATATAAAAAGATCGTCACATCTATTTATAATTGAACTCCACATTGACTAAAGGAAACGTTTCACTTGGCAAGTGTAAGTCAGTATGGAATGAAAATACAAATCTTCATATTTTCTATTTTAAGATGAACAGTACTTTAATTTAGAGTTAGAAATAGTGGCTAATTATGTTTATATTTCAACGGATTTCATTGAGGTTTCTTCATAATTTGTCGTAATTTTAATTTTTTCTATATCTTAAAGATGATAAAGTAATTTTTCCTTTTAACACTTTAATTAAGAAAATGGGAAGAAATAAAAAGAAAACAACTATACTAAAACTCAAACAGCAGAGAAAAGACAACATTTATTAATACATAAAAAATAAAATGCTAATAATAAATTAAATTATTCTTATTATTAATAAATGTTGTCTTTTCTGTGCTGTTTGAGTTTTAGTATAGTTGTTTTCTTTTTATTTCTTTCCATTTTCTTAATTAAAGTGTTAAAAAGAAAAATTACTTTATCATCTTAAAGATATAGAAAATATTAAAATATCCATTTTCATTGATTAATGCTGGTTTAATCATTTATTAATATAATTTTTTAAAAATAAATTAAATATTGCAGCCAATAAAACACTTTAATTGAGCAAAAATGTATAATTTGATCCATTTTTTGAGACCTTACGGACTCTTTTTAATGGTACAACAGAATTATGGGTTTGAACAATATATCGATATATTCTATGGTGGGTGGACAGTTCCTCACTGAAGATGGTGCAAAGCCTAAACACCAAACCCCATGATGATTTAAATAACTCAATATGTTCATAATCATTTTTTCCATAAAAAAATTAAATATTTCAGAACCAGGTCAGTCAAGGGCACAGTGTGAAAAAAAATTCTTTTCCATTTTACGCTCAGATTCAACTATTTAAGATGGTGGAATCAGTGTATATGAATGGTACTGGATTAAGTACCAGTACTGGATTAATGAGATAATAACTTTTAAGTATTCTAATTAGCTTCATTTGGCTGCAAAAGTGGAAATAAGAAGAATATTATAACTTTTAGGAATAAGTGTTTATTCATGTCCTGCTGGTCCATATATTCTCCCTGCATTTGCCATCATCGGTCGTGACTTGCATTAAGAACATAGGAAATTTTTGATAGAAAATAAATCGATGGTTCACTTTAAAATTAGGAAGTATTTCAGAACCAAATCAAAGGCTTAAAATTTTGGGGGAAAAAAATCAATTTTTTCAGTGTTAAGCCCTCGACCTAGTTCTGAAGGACTTAAATAATTTATATTATGAAAAAATTGTTTCTTGTTCAAAACCATAATTGTCAAGGTTTTGTATCTTGAAAAAAAGGCCCTTCAGTCTTGTACCAGACAAACACCCATCATCAGGTCTATGCTAAACTTATCTGATCATACTCATCTTAACTTTTATAGAGTTATTATTTAAAAAAAAAATTAAGAGTGCAAGAATGCGGTAAAATTCTTCATCAGCCTGAAGATCATGAAAATACTTTTCAATTTGATTGATCCAGTGGGTTCATCTTGTAAAAGTTCACTTAGATTTTCTTATGGTTTTCATTTTTAAACCAAGGCTTAAAAAAGATCCATGATATATTTCATGAACTTACTCCTCAATCTTGCTCAGGGAGTTGAATTT